TCACGAGGTTGCACCTGTTTCATACAGAATATGCTACGGATCTCGTTTTGATCCATTAGATTTACCATAAGCTGGTTTATCTATGGGATTAAAATTAAATTCTATATTTAAAATCTATCCAATTCATCAGTTATACACTTACACGTGTTTCGCTTATTAAATTCTAACATAATTAGTGTATTTACGTATATTTTAATTTAACCTTTAGCAATTTTCTAAGAAATGATAATACATCTATATTTTATTTCTCCCATCTATGACACTTAACGTAACCTATGCCCATAGTGTTTACTAAATGCCGGTGTAATATTGTGTTGATTGCGACACAAAGAAGTTGTTCGTTCTTGCTCTGCAGTATTGCTGTAATAGTATACAATGCTGATACCTTTACTCGCGCTTATATAGAGGGTAATGACGACAATTCTCATTCAGAAATTATTATAATAATGTATTACGAATAGTCATAAATCTAATTAAAAAAAAAAAAGTTAACAAACTCCGTCTGGCTCTAATACATGTGGTGTATAAAATACACCGCGCGAGTAGTTAAAGGTTAAAAATATATTTGTTTATTCTTACAGAACTGGCTCTTACTTCAACTGGCTCGTCAGTCTATGGCAGCGATTCCCAACCCGGGGGAATAATTAAATGAATGTTGTATTTTTGTATATGAGTAAATTCGGAATGTAACGAGATTTTAATGCAGAGTAGTAGAATGAAAGAGAATGCCGGTAAAGTTAATGAAACGAGGCAAATCGAGTTCAGCAGAACTGAGGGCTGGTGGAAGGAAATAAAAAAAAGAAGCGGCGCGCACGCAGAATAAACCTAATCGAATATTCGTAACCTGGTGGAGGATATTGTTTTGGGGGTGTATTTGTATTGGAACATGTTTGTCCTCCGCTAGGTGTTTGCTTTAATCAAACAATATTTTAACGAAAGTTTAATGAAACACAGTTACGTAATCCATCTATAAAGTAGCGCGTTTTGTAAATAATTGAAAGTTGTTTTCAGCAAAATTTAGTTTTTACTCATAATAATATGATATTTAATTGGCCAATAACATTGTGTTATGCAAGAAGCTTGTTTTAATCCATAAATCTTGTAATTATCGTTACTATTTTGATACTTTCGTAAACTCTGTTTAAGTGTAACAAATTTATATATTATTAATTTATAAAGAGTTTTGAGAATCAAGTGTTGTATAAAAATACTAAAAACTTTGAGAGTTGGTATCAAAAATTAACACACAGTTGTTTTTAATGAATATCACTTGCCCGATCAAAATTTGGCTCAGACATCGACATTGTCTGCGGCCCTTTATAACAGGGTAATAAAATCCGAAGGGCGCAATCCGGTACGCCATTCCTAAACGAAATCAACTCCCGGAGATGAATCGAAGCGCGCTGTGCGAGATGGTTCCGGCGCCGAAGGAAACAAATATAGAAAGGGAACTGTACTTTCACACCTCTCAATAATGAAGGGTTAATTGAAATTATGTTTTCCACTCACCGTAATAGGCAGCAGCAACTCATGTGTTTCATTTCCTTTCCATACGCGCGATTGTGGCGGCAGCAAGGGTAGATCGCAGCCTAGTAGATCTAACTTCTCTTCGAGAAGGGTGGGAATATGTCTAGGAGGTTGGTAATCGGTATTTGGTGTAGTTGTGCTGATGTTGGGTTCGTTGGTTGATATCCCGGGAACGGTTGAATCGGTGACACCTTCAACCTCATCACTGACTAAATCTGATTGCTCGGTGGTAGGATCCACTATGGTTCCGGTTGGCTCCTCCGTGGATGCGCTCACCTCTTCGGTAGTCACCATCTCCGTGACGGTCGCAGGCTTCTGGGTCAAAGGAGTACCCATAGCCAAGGCCAACAGGAGTAGCAAAGCAGCTGGGCGCTTCATTGCGGTACAGAACGTAGTCCTGGGGACCTGAAAAGCAAATTATAAAATAAAATCAGAGAGTGTGCTTTATATATATAATTTTTTTTAACTTCATTCTGTAGAAAGCAGAGTTGATGCTCGGCGAGCCAAGATTCTTTCCGGAATATTTGGCAGCCAAGTCAAAGCAAGCAATGCGGAATATTTCAAGCATCCATTCAAAGCAAAGACCGGACAGAAAAAACGAAGGGTTACCCTTCACCGTCCATTTGCGCTCGTTCGGAACCAAGGGTGGCGGGAATTCTGTATTAAGTCACTTAATTAAAAATTCAGGACAGAGGATGATGATAATTTGCGCTCCCGGGATTTTCCAGATTCATCCCTTTCCCTCTTTTATTCCGCGCCCAGCCAAAACTGTTTCGTACTCTTTCTTCCTCTTTCTTTCTCTCGTTCTTTTCTTGGCCCCAATCCCCACCCGGCGCTGCGATGCTACTTTCATTTCGATTCTCATTTCGATGGTTTCAGAGGGCTGCGAAGTGCATTAAGAACTGAAAGGAGGGAAAGATGTCTTTTTATTCGGTGTATGTGTTCTCTCGGAATGCGAGCAGAAATTTGATGAGCGAGGCAAACATTTGACCTTTTATACAGAATGGTATGAGGGGAAGGACAGGGACAACGACGGCGGCGGCGACCCTCGGCTAAGTAATTTTCATCAAGTTAAACGTTTTCTCGTGTGTCACTTCCAAGCGGAACCCCCTTTTCGGTATTACTATCTACTATCTATCCACCGATCGTTCACAGAATCGAGCCTCACTTTGCATTTCGCGGATGCGACCCATTTATTGAGGGTGGTGATAAAGATTGCAGATAAATTTCGACGAGCTTTTTCCGATAGGAAACTGAGGGGTAAAGAGAGCAGAAAAAAAAACGAATGAATGATTGAAATCAATATTTTTCTAACACAACCAAAACCTTCAAATCGATAAGGATTTTTATATAACAAAATTAATTTGATTGTAAAAACTTAAAAATATTTTCATAATTGATTAAACTGTAATTTTTTTACATTACTGAAATAAATCTTAAAAAGTATACAAAACATGACGGTTTTTTTTTGTTGATTTTTTTTTTGATTCGCAAAGCGTTTTCAATGAAAATTCAATTAATTTCGCACCGACACAGCGTATCTTTGAATTGCGTGATTCCCAGCGGCCCGTGAAAACCATATTATATAAACATGAGTAGAGAATACAAAGAGAGAGAAAACAGAAAACTAAACGCATTGTATAATGATAATTGTTTATTGGCGTTAATAATATTTGCAAAATCGTGTTTACTCGCAAAATGTGGGTTCCGGTTGTAACGGTGCATTGTATAAATAGCGTCCACCAATGCTTACGCAGTGTAATAATACACTTCAATTAATTATAAGCCTGTTTCTAATTTACATTGTTTACAGTGAATTAATTTTCAATTACAATTTTAAATTAATAAGAACAAAAGCTAAAACTGTAAATATATAGAGAATAAAACGTATTCTTTTTCAAAAAAGGTAAAGAAAATTATTATAAAATCGCTACTCGCGTGGCGATTCATAGACTCTACTAAGAATATTAATCCTTCAACGCGTTACTTTTATAAATTGTAAGTCATTATGAAGGAGGTAGTGTTGTCCCACCATTCCAGTTTTAAAAGATAATTTGTCCCAGAGACGCCGTGCGAGTAACGGAGGATTAAGAATATAGACAATATTTAATTAAATTTACAATATTTCATTTTATAAATAAATTTCACCTAAAAACTTTGGATTGTAATATAAATACAGTACATACGTATATATTTTTTGTCCAAATTTGCACTTTATAATTAAGCGCTCGAAGCACGTACAACAAACAGACATTTATAAAGTCTGTAAAAAAAAATGTAATCATAATTAAATGTAGAGTTGAAAACGATGTAGAAAATCGGATGGAATTGTTTTGCAAATTAGATTTGCGCGATTCGCGGATAACTCGATTCGTTTAATTGTCTTGTGTACATGAAATTTTTCGGTGCGCAATTGAGGGGAGAAAACGCAAATACTAAGGAGTAGGCTATCTCCATTTGGCAACGCGCATTTACATAGATATATCCAGTCCCGCATTCAACGAGGGAGGATCACGTATTTACAACGCGCAAGGATTTAGCGTCGCCCGGAGAATAGATATCCCCGGAATCCTGGCCTCATTAAAAACCCTAAGCTCCTCTGATGCATCTTAATAACCTGCGATCACTAATAACGACTGAGTGTATCCTTGGGATCGGTACACAGCGTGTCCTTTAGAACTCAGCCGCGGGTATTCAACCTTTGTACTCGCACATCTAATTATGGCTTAAGCCTATTATGCGAGAGCCCCGCTTCGAGCATTCCGCGAATACCGGTATAGCCAATATCTATGAAAGGAACTTGTCTCTTTTATCTTTGGTACCAGATCAAACATCAATTGTTCTTACTATCATTAGTATTGACGTGAAATTCAAATGGAATCAAATACAGAGCTTGTTTTTGCAATTTTACTTTTATCCTCGAACTGTTTATGAATTTTCACTGCATTTATCCCGCTGAAATTATTGAAGTAGATATGATTAATTTTATGCTTCCGAGGATGCATGTTGTTGGCAGTCTTCGAGACGATAATTAATGTACGTGTGTACCCTTTATAAAGTATACAAGGGTTGCTCGAGGCGTGCTTAATGCTCGGCTAATCTCGCAATGCGTTGCACCTGCGATCACCAAAGGGGATGAAATCGTACATCAGAAAAGTTTACCACTCAACTAACTCTTTTTTTTCGCAACTCGTTACTTCTCTATGGCTTTTCATAATGCAAGAATCAGCGATTCAAAAGAACAATTTACACAGCTTAAACTTCGTTTCTAAACGTGAATTAAATAAAATAATTTGAAAGATCTAAGTTTTCAGCAAATCTTTTCTACTACTGTTTTACTTTTTAATTAAAAAAAACAATAATAATAATTAACTAAATTTATACTGAATTAAAAAAAATTATTCTCTCAATCCATATGCATTCAGTATTTAATGCATATGGAAAGGGATTTCTACGGCCCTATTAAAATTATTATTGCATATTGCGTCCGTTTGAGCAGAGCTCCAAAGCCGCATCGAACATCGAGGATGCTCCATTTTCCGCACGTGAAATATTCAGTGGCAATTAATTACGATTAATAATTCGGTGAAATATAATGCGACCTGTGGCGTTAAAAAATTCGCATGAATTCGGCCTGAATTATACGAAGTTTAGCGACGTGCATCAAGCGGCGCGGCGCATTTACCTCTCGAACTTCAGGCGATTACCCGAGACGTTACGCAACGTACCGAAACCAAATTCAAGATTGTATTCGCCATTCCAAACGCATTACGTTACTTCAAGTATATTAACGTAATCTTTTTTATTTATTTTTGTAATCCTTCTGAAAAATATTTTTCAAATTTTGATCGATATACATTTTAATAAATCAATTGCAACTTTGTCAAAACTTGAATTTTTTTCGGTATTTTTCAACTTTTATGAAATATCGTTCTGTTGTGTCTAACCATTGAGGACAATAAGCTATAAGACCAATATTGTACCATTTCTTTGTATTTTCAACTGATAACCAAAGCGGAGTGTCATCTCAAAACCTTGGCTTACTTCTCAAACTCCCTATTATTAAGTATTAATAAGAATTAACTTTGTAAGTACAATAAGTATTTAAAAATAGTCTCAGTAAAACCTTTTGATGAACATAGTCTTATAAGAATCTAAATATAATGAGCATAGTGTCAGATGAATCTTAAATCGACCAAGTAACAAATAAAGTTATGTAAAACCAAACGAATTTCATTAAATTCCCAACAACTGAGACTCCTCAACGACAACATCAAGAATTCCATCCCTGAGACATAACAGTTCTTTCTTTTCTTTTAGTCCTGAAAAAATCTATAAATTTACTTTCGTTGTCCAATTATTATTTGTAATTCCTTCGATTTGAATTAATTATAAATACTGATTTTTTCATAAAAATGTTATTTATAAACCTATGATCAATATATTTTTTTTTATTATGTCATAGTATATTTAATTTACAATCTTATTCCTGCCAATATTAATTAAATTTAATGATGGTATACTTTTTGGTGAACTTCTCAATGGAATTTTTAACATTATATTCTTCTGTAAGTTGTTGTTTGGCTGCCAGGTTAACTTCAGTATATTCATGTCCTACGATTCCACTATTCCCTTTGACTGTGTATCTGCTGCCATCCTTAACACTGCCATTGTCCTTCGATTTGGCTGAAGGTCCATAAGCTGAACCTCTTTCATTTGACTGTTCATTCATGTTGAACGATGGCCCTATTGCTGCAAGCACCGAGAGGGCTCACAAAGGGCCTGGTTTGACCAGGATTCGAACGGAATCGCGGGTAGGGCGACTTAACCATTTGGCTATTAGACGCCCTTACTATCATTATAAGAAAGACGTTTTAATTTGTTATTTGTTTATGTGTGACTGTTACAAGAAATATATTTTTTTAATATTAATTATATTTATAATTCATTAAAAAAAATCAAATAAAATGCATTTGACATTTTTAAAAGTTTTTCATTACTTGAACGTTGAGTGGAAGCGCCGGGTATATTAATAATGTAACGTAATTTTTGTTGTTGTTCCATTTACAATTAATTGTGTTTAATACTAATTTTATTAATTTAAACTCGTTGTTCAATTATTGTTTGTATCAATTCCATTTGGACATTCATTAAATTAATTTGCAATTGGAATTTACTACTCTGTGACCAATTTCCTACTATGCCACGAACGGAAAGTCACATTATAATATCACATTATATTATTAATTAACATTTAAATTGTATTTCCACTGATTTGAGGAATTTCAATTATGTTATAGTTTTAAAATATTAGGTGAAGTAAGAAGTTCTGAGCGTTACAAATAGAATAAATTGAAGCAATGGAATGTTATTAAATCATTGAAACAAATGGAAATATATTTAAAAAAAACAAACAAATTTCATTTTAAATAACACAAAACATCATTTATGTAACACAATTCGTTAGCGCCGATTTCATTAAATCATCAAAGCAAATGGAATCATAATAATGGAAAAATAACGAAATCGTAATTATTAACTTTTTGATATGAAAAAAAAAGTACAAACAAAACATCGTTTTGAAACACAATTCGTTAGCACAATTGCATTAAATCGACGAAGCAAATGAAAATATAATAAAAATTGAAACAACGAAATCTCGATTATTCACAATTTTTGTTGTTGTTTTTTTTTATATAAAACTGAACATCATTTCGAAACTGAATTCGTTAAAAGCAAAACACGTGCATTATTAAAATGGGAATAGCAATTTCGTTTTAATTTTTTTTTTTCACTATGAAAACAAATCGTTTCGTAACTCAATTGAATAACACCACAATGAAGCAGCAAATGGGTACAGAAAATAATAAAAATTGTGATTATTCGGATTTCGATAATACAATTGCCGAAACAAATGAAATCATTGTGAAAACAACTTTTTTTTAATAATAATAATTCAAACATCAATTAGCAATTCAATTAATTAGTTATATTGCATTCAATTATTAAATCAAATAGTCAATTAATTTCAATTTAATTTGGTTGCAAAACAATGTTTAATGCAATAATATAAAGCATAAGAAAATTGGGAAATTAATAAACTGAAAACATTCAATTAATTTATTATCAAATTAATTAATATAATTAAATAAATTGCAGTTTCAAATTTATATTTCGCTTTTGAAGAAAGTACAGAATTGTAGATAGTCACGATAACGAAGCGGCTTTCAGCACTTCATGCACGCTTCTATTAACATCAAATGTATTTACGTTTTCAGGAGCCACTTAGAATTCACAAGTAAATGACTGCAGCCTTCAGCTAATTAAACAATCCGTCTACGTTGAGAGACTTCTAGCATTCACTTGTGCACCGGAACGAACAAATATTATACCAATTATAATGCGTCTTTAGGTAAGAAAAATAGGAAGCAAACAATGGAAGAAGTTAGCAAAAGCACTCGACAATTGAATTTCCATGCAATTGAATTTAACCGGATGTAAGTGAACTGTGATGACTAAAGAGGGAATTATATAACAAGCAAAAAATATCTATTTCTTAAATAGTGATTCGTAAAATAAAGAGATACTTAAGTATCTGACGTCGTTACGGCATGAAACGCGATATTTTCAAGGGGTGCCTCGACTTTCCGGTGATTGCATAATTGAATTTGAATAAATTTTCATAAATTTACTTCATCGATAATTAGATTATTTTTATTTAGTAAATTGTATTTTATTAATTTCGTTATTTTTTCGTTTCTAATTAACATTAATTTATTTAACGCTGTTGACGAAAAAAAATAAATAAATCGCATGTGTATAAACGTATATATGAAACGCTTTGAAATATTTCCCTTTCAATTTGTTTCAAGAATAACAGAACAAGTATTTCCTTTTATTAAGCTGCTTTTCCCTTGCACCCTTGGATCGCCTCAGAAAAAAAATTATATACTCGAGCACAAACAATGTTCCCGTGTGTGCATATCAATACAAAAGACCTTTACGCTTAACCGAGCTCGTAGAAATTGACTTTGCTAGCATTGAATGAAGGAAATAAGAAGTAATAAGAAGGTACACGAGCGAGGCGCAGATTCCGCGTTCCATTAAGCTTTTATCTGAGGATGCAGAAAATATTCAGTATTCACATTTCCATCGGTGCATATTAAACGTAACTCTTATATTCGCGAATGGAAAATATGTAATTTCCTTGTACGACGCGCAGTGGTTTAATGAAATGCGATCTAATGAATTTCCCGTGAAAAGTGTAGGAAGGCGATTTCCCTTTTCCGCCGGATGCAATAAAAAAAATATATATATATTGTTCGCATCGATTCTCAAGGGGGTGGCAGATGGGCGCTTAAAGTGGTGGGGTGGCGGCAAGATAAATTTGTTTTTCAGTTTTATGGCGGCTTAATTTTAAGTAAGGTGATTAAAACAGGGTGGCGCAGGATTTGGCGCCCGCCTGTGTCTGCGTAGGGATACTGTTTGAGCATTTTCGGCTCCGAAGGGCTCTAGCACTTAATACGCGCCCCCGCAGCTCTCCCGACTAAACTGTAACAGATCGTGAGGTTTGGGTATTTCCAAGTGTTACACCGAACTGTTTACGGTTTCGGTAAAAAAGCAGATACGCCGCGCACCATTTCGAACACGCAAATGATCTGCGCACAAATTTTCCACATCTTTTTTTTTTTGTTTTCTTTTGTTTTTCATTTGTCGCACATATTGATTACAGACGCGACGTGTTTATTTTTTGATGAATTCACATCTTTGTTGAATGCGAATTGCTGTAACTTCTTTTCAGTGGAAACTATAATTAATTTCAATTTTACCTACGTTATATAACATTTCTTTTATTCCCGTTTCATTCATAAAATTTTAATTATCCCCTATATTTCGTTTCAAAAGAACAAAAACTTATTAATTTGATCACTTCATTTAATTTTCATACATATCAAACATAATAATTCATTTCAATTAAAATACATTTAATTTATTTTATTATTTGTTTTTTTTTTCTGCAATATTAGTAAATTTTACTATAAAAATTGATGTAGCTATCAATTTGATATAATGTTGCATCATATTGTGAAATATGTAAGATGTATAAGAAAACGTTACGGTTTTTATTGCATGTAATATATATCGCCTTTGAAAGTTGGAAGCGCACGGAAGACATAATTCGCGAATGGTATTCCGCAAATATTTACAAGAAGCAAGAATTTATTGAAGGTGATTTCATTTGATCAGGGATGACTGAGGGCTTTCACCGCTGGAAAATCATCATGAAAGCTCGATAAATAATCCCATCAGATGTTTGACCTCAGCAGGAGGAGAGCTCTTTGAATTCAAAAGCAGCATATTTGCCAGGAGGCAAAGGATGCTGATGTGTGTTTTATGAAATTATTAGTGGAGCGCATGTCAAAGTTAACTTGCCATGCCCTTAAGGTCGGCTTCGAATCACATAATTCTAAAAAACACATTGCAAAGCATATATATATACACATATCTATAGATATACCTGGTAATCGTTGGATGTTGAAGTTTTCTAAGCAAGGTAAATCAATTCAAATACATTGAAATTTATGTACGCTTAAACATTCTAAATTAGAGCGTTGTTGTATAATAGCCCAAACAAAAGCAGAATGCGCTGCAACTTAATTACAAATATTTAGCAATTTGTTCGTAAATTTTCCGGTCAGCGTATTGCTTAACTAACAACATTTACTGCGTTGTCGACTTCAGGACTCTCCGAGACATTGCTAGCTATAGTACAAAGTTTATAAACATTTTCCCAACTTGTAAATGTCTATTACAGCCCGTGCATCTTTCATCCAATATTACGGCTCAAAAGAAGAAAAAATAATAAGTAATAATAAAACGGTGTAAAGTTAAGATGCACTTACCGCTCGTTTGCGATGTATTCTCTTCGTCTTGAAGTATTAAGGAGCTCACGTTGCAAGTGTCTGAGCACGACTGCTACGGAATTTCCTCACACGTTTTCAAGTTTTCCTCTTTTCGTCTAATATTGGTCCAACGCAGAATCCGCATGAGAGAGGAAGATTCTGCGCGATGGAACCCCCCTCGTTCGTCGCAAAACGCCTACATTATGCTTTTCACCATTTTCCGGCTTTCCAGCGAAACCCTTGGCCTCTGTTGGGAATTGCATACACCTCCACTAGTATTCTACAGTGAAATGAAGCAGCCTGCTTACAATTTAAGATTATTTAACCTGCAGTTCTCTATTGTTCATATAACAACAGAATTTCACTCCAAAATAAAACAGATTCCTATTTAAGAATTCAATAATTCACCATTAATTTTTATTGAAAGCATATAATTAACAAACTATTTATTTCTTATACAAAACCGACACCAATAAGAACAATTTCATAAATTATTTTGATACATTCATAGTTTTCCACAACTCAAGTAATTTCTTTCTATTGTTTTTGCAGATTTGGTTTTTCGGTATCTCATCAATATAAATAATTTGCTTTGGAATTTTGTAAGAACTCAGATAATCTGAAAGGTAGATACAATTAGTATAAATAACAATCAATAATTAAATAAATATACTAACTTTTTGTAAATGATATTAGGTCTTCAGGTGAAACGGTATGTCCTTCTTTAAGTACGACAAATGCACATGGAGCTTCACCCGACCTCTGATCTGGTATACCTATCGCACCTACGTCTTCCACGCTGTCGTGCAGCATCAAAACTGTCTCAATTTCAGCTGGTGAAACCTAATATAAAAAATAATAGATTTATATCATAATCAATGCATATTATTATACTTACTTGAAATCCCTTATGTTTGATGATATCCTTGATCCTATCGATGACGTAAATTAATTCATTTTCATTGTAATATCCCACGTCTCCAGTGTGTACGAAGCCGTCATCATCGATAAGTTCCCTAGTGGCATCCTCCCTATTATGATATCCATTGCAGATAGAATCTCCTATGATACAAATCTCGCCGATTTCATTAGGTCCCACCGCTTTTCCAGTCAAAATGTCAACTATTTTGCAACGATTATTTGGCATTATCTTTCCGATGCTTCCGGTATTATCATCCTTGGGACTCATAATTGTAGCTCCAGTGGTCTCCGTCAGACCATAAACTTGTTGCAATTTGCAATATTTCATTTTGTTCAAAAACTGATCTACTGTGTCTTTATTCAACATAGCGCCTCCGCAGTAGAATTTAGTCAGCGTAGATATATCATATTTTTCCAACAAATTTGTTTTGATCAAGAAAAGTATAATTTGCGGAACAAACATAACCTTGTTAACTTTATATTTTTCTATTGTTTTCAATAACATTTCAGGTTCAAATTTCTTGAGGAAAATTAGAGTGCTTCCGTATCCAAAAACTGCCCCAAACATCATTGTACCTATGATATGAGTACAAGGAGTGACTTGGACGTAAATATCGGATAAGTTCGATTCAAAACCATCAGACCTAAAATCAAATATATTTTAAAGATGTATTTCATGCATATAGTTGTTTTACCCCATGTAAACAAACGGCATCCTTAAATTCGCATGAGTCAGGAGAACCCCTTTCGGCATACCTGTAGTTCCGGAAGAATAAAGGATCAAAGCAATATCCACTTTGGGGTCGATCTTCTCCAGTTCGAACTTTTCTAAATTAAAGTCACCTAATTCTAAGATACTTTCCAAATTGGTTGCATCCCTTTGCGGTTCCCCATTGAACAAGATTATCATACGGATGTTAGTCAATGTCTTCTTTATTTCGTATAAAGTATTGAAAGCTTTCTCTGAGCAGAAAATCAGTTTTGTATTAGTTTGTCCTAAATAACTGGTTAGTTCAACTGAAACACACATAAGTCAATCAAATACTTAATTTAATTGGATTAAAACGTACACGTAGTATAATTAGGACTTAAATTGTTAACAATTACTCCAGTGTATAAGCATGCGATGTAAGGGATAAAATATTGAATATCATTTTCGCTTAATACAGATATAATATCCCCTTTTTTAATACCAAGCTTCTTGAAGATGGAACACAGCTTAACAGATTTTTCCAATACGTCGCGAAAGCTTAAGATATTGCCGGAAAATGCGTCTATCTGAAAACCAAAATATTTCAAATATCTCACAATATTACAATATTTACCAGAGCAGTTTTCGTTCCAAATTTTTTCAAATTGTTAAAGACAATATCGCCAATTGAACATCTCGGAAGGTCAGTCTTTTCAGGACCAGAAGACAAAATTTTAGCGTTGTGCATTGTAGAAATAATAATTTATTATGACGAAAATGAAAATTACTCCTTTTATATCTTGCAAGTATAATTGCACATGAAGCATTAAATGCATTTATAATGTTTCCATTAATGTAGCATTATAATTAAAAGAAATCTACAGAAAAATAGAGAAATTCCGTATTAACATTACGTTCATACAAAGGTCAATAGAAGCATCAATTAATACATTTGTAATTCGCACAATAAATTAGCATAAAAATAAGAATGTATTGATGCAATTTAATTTATTGATATCTTGGGTCTATATCGCAAGCCCGACAACCGAAAGACCGTTTATTGAAATCCTGGCTGTATTAAATGCTTGAAAGCCCGACTTTGTCAAAATCCCGACTCTGTCATAATCCCGATAATCAAAATCCCGACTACCATAAAAATGTTATTGTAGAAATTTATAATAATAAGACACTGTCGGGATTTTGAGCCAGCCAGGATTTCGAACGTCGGGATTTCGGTTGTCGGGCTTGTGATTGCCACCGGATATCTTTAATATAGTAGATAACGACATCTATAGTCGATGTTTGAAAATGTTTTCTTGTTTTATAGTAAACAATTATTGGAAATTTAATAAAACTTCGTTTCTTGTTATAAATAAATGTATATTCTTAAAATCTTCTTTAGTATTTAACAATCCTCTATATTGTATAAATATTCTATATCGTTATTAAACTATAATTGGATCAACCCTGTCCAAATTAGGAAACTACGATTGAGTCTCGTAGATTGCTGTCGTCGTTAATACTGGTATTTCCAGGAATATTTTCATAACCTTCCCTACCTCCTCCTGTTTAAAAGAAACAAAATTAAATGATATGATAGTTCTATATAGATTGCTACAAATAGAGACACGGTTATCACCGAACACATACCTACCTCTTCTTTTCATAAGGGTAAGCACAGCTAAGGATCCCATTATAGTGAAACCTCCGCAAACATAAGTTAATACATCCCTGTAGAACGTACTCGCTGCCCCAGAGTGCCTAAATGAAAAATGTTATGAAAATAAATTAGGTTGTAATTATAGATACATACAGCTCTTGAATTATGACCACGGCAATGCCGTTAGCAAGTTTATCACAGAAGCTCATCACGCCGTAAACGAAAGCCCCGCTTCCAGTTTTATCTCCTATCAAATCGGCGGTGATTCCAAGGCTGGTTACCAAAATAATTGAACCCCCAGCGCCGAATAACACGGCCACCGCGTATATATCGTACGTTACAAAATCTTGACCATCCCTGAGCTGTATCCAAACGCAAGCTAAAACCCCGAGAATAGTCCCCAATATATATGATATCTAAAAGTAAACAAAAATCAATATCCTGAGCAACAGTTTGCCAACTCAGCATACCCCGCGTCCAAAAACCCTGTTTAAAAATTCAATAGTCATTGCAGTTGCAAAACTTCCAATAAACATGACTAAAGGTATCAAGGCCAAAGCGCTAGCTGCCATATTGAGAGTTTCGTGCAAGTATAGCGGTATGAAAACCTGGCTCAAATTCACGAATAACCTAGTAGACATGTATACTACAGCCACCTAAAACAATGACCATCTTATATTTGAAGGGAATATAAATAAAAAAATATCAATTTACTTGGTAAACCTCCACGCTTGTTAACAAATCAACAACGCTTGTTCTAAGCTGTCCTCCACGTACATCATTTCCTGTATGCCCGTTGCTTTCCTTCACAAAAATATGAAATATAAAAGACGCAAAAATCCCAATAGCCAATCCGATCCAAACGACCTTTTGAAATTCTGGTGCGTCGTTTGGTCCAATCTGGGCATCATCTGGATTATCACTGCTTATATGCAGCACATACCATGTGATTAAATACACTACGACATTCGAAATTACAGTAAAGCAATATCTAAAAAAATTCAAATAGCAAACTCTGTTTCAACAATTTCACACAGGACATTAAATAAATTATTCCCAAAATGGCTGCAAATGCTATAAAGCATATAAATTAAAAGCCAAATAACCCAAGTTAGTCAAAATGGATAATTTATGTTAAAATGATAGTTAAAATTAATATATACAAGTGATTGAAGTTGTAATGAAACAGATATATGTTTTAATACTGAACATGAGGATATACCTTATCGCAGTCAATTTTGTGCGGTCGTGCTCGTTCGGCGTTAGTTCAGGTATAAGTGACAAGTGCGAAATTTGCACTGCAGCCCATCCGATTTGAAATATTATTACGAAAATGCAATAATAAAAAAGTTGAGCTTCTCTGTGACTGTTCTCGCATGAGGGACAAGGGGAAAATATAAAGGGAAAGGAACCGATGACGCAGATCGTGCCTGAAAGTAAACAAACAAGATTATCGCATTTCAAATAGAAAATTATCATTATCTTTGTTATTACCCAGCAAGTGCCAAATTTTCCTTCTACCATATCTACAAATATAAAAATCATCTGATTGATCTGAATGGAAACCCACAAATGGAGTTGCCAAAGCATCTGAAATCTATAGATAATGTTAAATACAACAAATAAATTCAAATACAGTAAACTTACCTGTCCTACTAATAAAATGATACCAGCATCTGAGGCACTAAAATTCAAAACTAAATGAAAGAACACCAAGAGATAGGTGAACCACATAGAAGCACACACATCATTTAAGACATGTCCTACTCCATAGGATAATTGTAGACGAAATGGTATTCTGCTGTAAATCTCTGTGTATTCATTGCTTATTAGATGCTGCACACTTGACTCCATGTTTGCTACTGTACTGTTGAAAACAATATGAGTCAATAACGATTATTCTGTGTTAATCTCCTGCATTCTTTGATATTTGCATTGTTATACAGATTACGAAGAAAGTTAATAATGCAGTGAATCACCATGAACTCATAGAACTTATCATCAGACATAACCTTCAAAATATTATCAATAAAGAAAGAAACACCGCAAATAAGAAGTCTTACCCAGGAAGTGAGTACTCTTATCTCATTGGTCATTACTATATATACCATAACAACAATAATTTTGTAACCATATGGTCGTGGCAATAAAAAGGTTTCTTACGTTAGCCGTTAGTGGCGCCATAGGTTAATGCTCTTTGTCAAAGTTTGAATTACTTTGTTAATTTAATGATTTTACATTATATTTTACGTTTCGATAATTAGGTTAGAAACAATTAAAAACTTACCGTTCTTGCCTTCAGAAGATGAGTACAAACAAGTTAATTAAATATACGGAAATTGATTATTCTTGTAAACATTCAGTATTATCTAAAGACTAGTTTAATATTATCTCTTCTACCTCCTTAGAAACGAATAGCAAATGAAAGAAAATGGCAATTTATGAAGAAAACAAAAAAAAATCACTTGATAAGTTAATGTGTTTGCATACATGTTGTTTCATAATATTTTTTTGCTATAAACGAAGTTATTACTTATTGCCCTAATTAAGATAAATATACTATTTTGTCCCTTCCACTTGAAAATAGAAATAAGCCTATGCTAACATCAATTTTTTTTTTAAGGAAGTATTTCAAATGATGGATTGGAATAATCGATTTGTAAAGCTTATATCGCCTCAAGGCGAAGTAAACTTGGTTCCCCCAATGCTAATATCGAGATTCAGCAATCTCGAAATAAATCCAATGGATAATTCAATCAAGGATAATAATATGCTTTTTAGTTCATTTCTTATTATGGGCGATGTTGTGGATATACAATGTCAGAGAGGAAAATATTTTTTGAAAATTGATGATGGCACTGGTATAATGGAAATGATGATGATAAGTTCTGATGAAGAGAAGCAGCAATACTTGTATGAGACTTCAAAAATAAATCCTGAGGATTATCTAATGAATTTGGTGAAACTGGTACGAGAGGAAATGACGAATACCTGCCCACCTGTTTCTAGTTTAAAGATCGGCGATTGCCTATTGATCCATGCCCAAATATCAAGTAAGAAAAACGAAGACGAATGCAAAATCAGCGCTTTCAAGTTTCATAGGATGCCCAAACTCAATGTAACTGAAAAGAAGTATGACTGGTACTTTAGTTGTTTGAATTACTACTTGAAGAAGATGAATAAACCATAACTAATTAAAGAACTTTTTTTAATTAACTAAAATTATGTTTAGGAAAATTACACTCTTATAATTATGTTAATTTATTGTCTTTACCTAATATCAATGTGTATACATTTGTTTTCAAACTAAAACGATGCAATTTAACCTCAACGAATTGAAACTTATCTAGCATCCTCCTACTTCTCATTGAAGTATCACTAACCTAATTTGATGATTATGGTAAATAAATAAAGATATTTTAAGTAGAAAACGTACTTTATTTTAAAACATTCACATAAATAAAAAAATAACTATATTATAGACCTAATGCTTGGATTTACGGCTTCTCTTGTTCCTGAAACAAAACCATTTAGTTGATTCATTCCTAATCACTAATATTAAATTTACTTCTTTGGTCCTTTAACGAAACACCAGTCAACACTGATAGCTTGTCCCAAGATATCTGAGCCATCTAATGCCCGCCTAGCACTGTCTGCCTCCTCAAATGTTGCATATTCAACAAGGGCATATCCCTTCAAGAATCCAGTTCTCCTGTCCAGATTAAGGTTAATATTCTTTATAACACCGTATTCAGAGAATTTTTCATTCAAATCCTCATCTGAAGCCTCCTCATGTACAGAGGTAATGAACAGGATCCAACCTTCCACAGCTACAAACAACAAAAGTTAAATCATAAAACAACAAATAGAACAAGTTTTAATACATTTTTGTGGTCCCATGGCATCACTGCCTTCACCTCCATCGACAGTCTCATAATTCCTAACTTTGTCGGATCTTTGAGATCCACCTGAACCAAATCCTCTGCCCTTCCTCTTAGTCACTTTATCCTTAAGCCGGATAACGCTCTCTGAAAATTACAAGAAAATGATTTTAGAAAAGCATTTTTAGGTTATTAATCATGGTACATACGATCACCCTCTTCATCTACATCCAACTCCACGGAATCATCGATATCTAGAACGTCGGCCATTTCGACAATATTATATTAATTAATAAATTAATACAAAAGTACAGTTAAAGTAAAACGAAGCAAACTTGCGAAGTGCGTAAAGTTTACGGTCATTAACAACAAACCAAACTATACAAAAAGTGGTATTACCAACGTGAGGATGGTAAAGTTACCAAAAAAAAAAAAACGCGCGCATCAAATTTAAAAACTTTTATCACGCGAAGGTAAATGATCAAAGTATTTTGAACTTTGTATTTGTTTTCTTATAATAAATAAAAAATAGATCAATGTTATATTGACTTCATAAATAGTAGGAATGAGCGATTACACCGCAGTTTGTGGTGCATTTTGATCAATTGTGAATGCTAAAATGGTAAGATTTGAATTTATATTTTGAATTGCGGGATAGAATATAGAAAATGGTATATAAAAAAATAGGTAAATTTCTTTTTCTAGCATACAGTTATTATTAGGCAGTTGATAAATATTGATACAAATCTTTCGTTACAAAAACATAGTATAATAACCTCAGGGATAGGCTAAATACTTGTGTGTATTGTGTATGGGAGAAAACCCAGAAAACGTAGTCTACCAATATATCCACATATGTTACATGTAAATTATTATTAATATTATTATAGCCTAAGAAAACACATGTTTACAATTCGTGGGTCCTAGCAGGTAAAAGTGTTGAGTAACAATTGTATCTTTTCTTTTTGTTTGGTGTTGCTTGTTGTTTTGATTATATTTTCTGCTCTTTCCACTATTCCATCGTTTACTTGTTATTTTCTTATAAAAGTTATGTTGGATTGCTGAGTATTTCCGTTGATAAATATTTATATACAGAACCAGGACCCACAAGCCGTTAAGCAAGTCGAAGCTTAATCCTAATCACCGGATCCAAATGACTGAAAAGTCGAGTCAATTAGATACAGACGTTTTATTATTATTATTATTCCTTATTCAATATAATTGTTAATATCAATTTCATCGTTTCCTCCTCCAATGGAGAACAACAAAAATTATAATAATAATAAAAAACATAAACACAAACAAAAAAACAATCAATTCCTATTGTATACAATGCATAATTTTAGGTATTCCCTTAAAAAATTGCACAATTCTATCATATCTCTTGATATCTTATTAACAACATATATAAATGAGAGAACTTGAATTACCATAAATTACTATAAATAAAATATATCACTTTTCTTCCACCGTCTTCGTCCACGTTTTGTATTATTATTCCAAAAGATAATTTTTTTTTCGAGAGCAATCGGGTATATAAGAGAATCAAAATAATAAGAGATTCGAAATTATTTGAAGTCATTTCGAGTGCGATTCTCACTCGCCGACTAGAATTACAGTTGACACGTGAATTACAAACAGAATCATTACTTAATAGACGCATCACATCAGACTTATATCACTATAACATCGACCTCACTGCAGAATGCAATAATTCTTTTATGATGCTGCAACTCGGTTATCTTTGGGTCTACCATTTCAAGTAGATAGACCCGCCTCTACTGAAATCAAACGAATGAAAGCATTCAAACGAAAATAGACACGGCCACTAGACTAAGATACGATGTCAAGACAACGGATGTCCAGTAAACTTCTTTCATAATAATGTTGTCGCTTCTTATTATTTCTTCTTTTTTTTTTGTTCTTTTTTTTTATCATTTCAATTACTATTATTTCCATATAGAACAATTATCGTGCGGAGAAAATGATATAAATATAATCTTAAAAGGAACATCAATATAATACAATAATATAAATACTTATTTTTCTTTCTTTCTTGATAATTAAAGAATGGACTTGTGCACAACTTGAACTTGTTTTCTTGTTTTGCACACTATATTTCTTCTTTCCTTTGATGTCGTTGATAGTTGGGAGGGCAACAAATGTATGAACGGATTTTACATTGACTACACTCTAAGGGGGACATCGACGAAAACTGAACCAATACCTTCAGAATTTAGTTACATTGAAAAAAACACAGATCTTATTTCACTTAGTAAGAAGCGTTACATACATGCTTACGTTTTTCATATTCTCGTTTTTATCAAATATACATTGCAATATAAAGACTATGGTACGGTGTAATCCATGTAAAAATACAAATTATCATTATTATGTTTTTTTTTCTTTCTGCTTTGTTTTGTTTGTTTTGTTAATGTCGTGTAAGTTGCGAGAAGCACCTTAAGACAGATTCCATCCTCCCGCCCTACTACATATATACGGACATAATATCACAAAGAATATATTAAACAATTAAAAAAATACTTTAAAGCTTGATACCATTGCGGGTCGCACAGTCGACCATCCGTATGGCATCTCTCACATCGTAACAGTTTACAAAAATCAAGGCCTCCCCAATTTTGAATTTCTTTGCTTCTCCTACCTCCAACTTCCTACTAATTTCATTTCATCTTCGTCTTTTTTTTTGTTTGTTTGTTTGTTTTGTAATAAAAAATATTGTTGGAATGCCAGAAACTGAGGCTGCTCTACTGCAACTTGTGCGCTTTTGTTTTTTGTTGTTGTTATTATTATTATTTTGTTCATGTTTCTCACATTCCGATTCAAACCATCACGTACGCCTCTTTGCCGCAAAACAGGAATGGATACTGTGCGATCATCGTCTGCACTATGTCCTCCAGATATGGTCTCATCTGCTCGAATCTGCCCATGTCGCTAAACTCAATGGGTAGCAGCGTAGGCCACCAACAGATAGCCAGATTTTTACTATCCATGCTGTTGAGTTTCGCGTTTTCTGCGACCCTGTAATGCGCAAAATAATCGTTAAGATAACCTCTGTGAAAGTACAAGAGTACACAAAAATAAACACACGTGTGATCTAAACTTACTTAACGAAATGTTGAAACACAAACTTCAACACTTGGAAATTTACAGGATCAAGTTTTCCTAGCATCTTACGAAGAGCGATAAGTCGGCAGCTTTTATCAGTTTTCACTTCGATGTTGCTGGTGGTGGTAGCCATCGGTTTCATCCTCATGCCTAGTCCAAATATTACCAATAATTAGTTATACAATTCTTTATAGTCAATACCAATTAATAACTCACCCGCTATATCTTCCAACTCCGACATCACATTCTCTTCGAATAGAGGCGGTAGCCGTTTCGAGACAAAATCTTTCAAAGCCGTCGCCACAGCATTAACAGGTACATCCAATTGATATATATCGACATTTTGATCTGAAAATCAATACATTTGTACTCTTGTTCACAATTACCTACGTTCACGGTCATACCTTCTTCAAAGTTCTGGAACAGCAAATCGACGTGTGCCCGATTACCGGGCACCCTGTAGATGCCCTCCGAGTCTAACCCTTCAGTCTCAATAAACTTCACGCATTTCTCCATAAACAATGGCACGTAATTGTTGTCGGATTGAATGAAATCAGAGAGTTTAGCTGGTACGTTACCGCCCGCCGAACCGGATTTCTGTTTCAACTTCTGCAGCTTCTTCCTGTCGCGCTCTTTCTCCTTATCCGCCACCTTCCTGAGCTTCTCTTCCTTCTGCTTGCGCTTCTCCAATTTAGAATCGTCCTTCGCCTTCTGCTTCTCGCGCTTCCGCAGCAACTTTTCACGATCGGACTCCTTCATTTTCGGCAACGCATCAAACTGCAAAATTCGCGATGACTGAAAAGGTTTACTTTGTAACTGTTTGTAAAATTTCTTACCATCGGGGAATGGTTGTCTCTGGGCGAAGACACGTCCAGACTGGACTCGTCGTCGTGTATCAAACCGTATGAACCAACTTTGCTTGAGAACAAGTCCGGTGAGTTTAATGGCATTGTCAGGTTGTGCGTGTTGTGCAGATCTTGCTGGATGCAGCCAACTCCGTGTGCTGCGTGGAGTCGCTTTTTCAAACTAAAGGAGCGCTGCTTCCCGAAGCGCATCCTGTCCGTCGTGCTTGTGTAATGTCCATTCTCGCTGCCTTCCGAAGAGTCGGTATTTGATTCGGTTGGCACTAGAACTGCAACAAATACACAGTTTAAAATATTATATTTATTTCAAATCGATATAAAGTATTTACGGTTGGTCTTTTCGCTGTCCATATCGACCGGCGGAGCAGAATGTGCTGAGGACATCGTGAACGCGGATTTGGGCGGCACACGCGGTGGCTGGACAGGTATGGCTGTCCTCTTCTTCCTTGTCCTCTTGTGAGTTCCTGTTTTTCTATTGACTTTCGAGTACACCTCGCTCTGTCTCTGTCTTCTCTCAAGGCTGCTCCATTCGCTATCCGTATCGGAGTACGCTAAAAAAAAAGGACGAAACATTTAACATACTTAGGCGCCAGACCCACAAAAATTGGTGCATTACAAGGCTGACCCTTTTCTCTTCGTTGTCTCAATTTTGATTTTCCGCTCACTGCATCGTGCACCAATGTGTACATATATTCGGCGTCTTGAGGATACATAATATCTTTAACTTGCGCATATTCCGAGCCCAGGTCTACAACTTCGGGTGTTGCTAAAGGAGCATTTCCAAAGTTACTGTTACGACTGTCCTTACCACTGACATTCATTCGAGCTATCGCCTCCGTCACGACTGAGAAGTTCTTCAAATTCAATTTTCCTGGTTGCTTTAAAATACAATAACATTCAATTATTAATCAATTTAATTATCACATGGACATAAATATATTAAGAACGGGATTCAACAAATCTATTACCTTACGATCTAATACGCACGGAAATAGAGATCAACGGTAATAAATTTGTTTGAAACATATGAACTGTATATGATTTATTTTTTTTTGCATATGCAATGTGCATTCTAACGTGTAAATGATGAATAATAATAAATTTGTTTTAGAAATAATGATTACCCAATTATCTCCAAAAACCACAGGATTTCGCTGTAAAAAGCTCATATCAATTAATTTCTCGCTCACGGTCGGTGTGTTCAAATTTTGAAGGTTGGGTGCGTGCGTGTTAGCTTAGAGAGGGAAATTAGTGTTAGGCATTTTTTGATATACGTACCTTTAGGGTCTGGGATACACCCTTGGGACGAGCCTTAGGTCCAGAGACGTGCCTTCTTCCCGTCGTGAAGGCATGCTGTCCATAGTTGTTCCAACCGCTGGTCAAGGGTAAATGAGATTCCGCATCACCATCTAAAAATAATGAACCTTCAACAAAACTTTTACCCAACAACTATCCGACTACTTGTTTACGATTGCAAATGAGTAATTAGTAATCTGTTAAATCACCTGAGTCATGTGTTGCCAACGATTCACGTGATCCACTAATGTCAGCTAAGCCAAGATTAGAGATTTTTAAGAGTGAGATATTAAGATTCAAAGCGCCACTTACAAGTAATTTCGTCGAGACTGGTCTGCGACGCGGAAAGGATTTGACCCCGTTTGCTCGTCCTGCTGTTCATTAGGTGATCCGGTGGTGCTGGTTCTGGGGGTGTGGTTGGAGGCGGGTATACTTGGAAACCTATAAGAACTATTCTTATACCGCCACATTCAATAAAAAGAAATAAAATCAAACCTGAATGAAGATGGCGTTTCTTAGAAGACATTATGTCTCCATTCTCACTACCATACATTTGATAGATTTGAGAATATTTATCGCTGTGGTCGCTCGAGCTCAGCCTTTCTTCCGGTCCGTTGAGATCCGCCAAATGTTCATAGTTTTCGCTTCCGCTTCTAAGTATATGATTTAATTATGAATTAGTATAATAAAATAATGATCTTTAGTAATTCTTACCCATCGTTATGTTTCAAATGATAACTTTCGTGACGTGGTGGAGGTAAAGGATGCGCCCTTTGCGACCTTGGATGTTCAAGAGTACCTTCGCCACTATCCACGAGACCAGCTGGTTCCTCCATATGGAATGCCTGTTCAATTTCAGGCTTCTTATCCCAAACCTCTTTAAAAAAAGGCGTGTAGAAGGCAGCTAAAAACCAATACGTTAATAACAAAGTTATTAAAAATTTAAAGGAAATTGGTTACTTTTCTGTTGACATGAAGCATTCGACGTGACGAAATGGGCGTGCAATCGATCCGCCGTGTTGTTACCTTCGGCAATCAACAGATGGGTCAGTTCACTATTGAAATAAGCATTTGCCCCTCCCTCAGTAACTGCCATTATTTGAATCGGAAGATTAGGAATGTTCATTGAAAATGCACTGAAACAGAATCCATTGAGCGGACATAATACCACAATTATGTAATTTACTTTAGAGTAGCGAAGGAGGCTTTTCGTTTGGTGGAATAGACTAAAATGAACCCGTGGACGAGCTCATCACGGAATGCATTTGCTCCATGGAATGATGAGATAATCACTTCGACTTTCCGTTTGGAGTCGCCAAGATAAGTTTCAAGAATTATGCTACGTTCAGCTGACAGGAAGCAACATTGATGGGATAACAATGGTGCAAGTACATTTTCCACGGAGAAAGGATCACCGCAGAACATGCACATGATTATTCTGAAAGAAAAAAAACATATAATGTTACGGTGTAAAACATAAGAAATTTATGATATTACCTTATATCAGGTTCAGCACATTCGATGACTTGATAGTTCAGGAATCCAGCTCTATGATGTATGCTTTGTATCAGCTCATGAAGTGCTTCTGATACGAGCTGCTCATCGGTTATCTGTTCTAGACAAATGTCCATAAACGGACATTGCAAACTATCTGCCAAGCTCTGTCCTTCTTCGCGAAGCTTCAGTATATCTTTCTCCTCTAGGAACGAATCCGGAATAAACATAATAACTATCGGCAAACCTTGGAATGGCAATTTGTCTTCTTGTTCTAAGTTCGAGAGCAAAGTTTTCTCTAAACTATCTCTGATATACTCAAAAGACTCGGCGTTGGAATAAACACAGAAGCTGCCATGAGGTACAAACTCTGATGTGCGGAATGAGTTATGTGGTAAACTTACATCGCCCGTGATTATTCTATAATCCAGACTATAAAATTGACCATCTATTTTGTATTCATCGTCCTCGCACTGTTCCCTGATCTTCATTGACAAATCTTCCGCTAAGTGGTTGATACCAAGTATTACAAGATTAAGCTGATTATTGTCCGAAGTTAACAGCCACTGGGTACTTCTGTTCCACGAGGAAGGTCTATGAGCTTTTGTGGCAAGAATTCTTTCAATCAACGCATCCATGCAGTTAGGAAACGCAGGGCAATGTTCGCGGATTGGACAGTGAACAAAGCCTAAGTGCTGGAATAGCATCAGTTTTCTGTCTTGGTCCAGTCTATCGAGCATTTTGTACCGGAAATCATCCTGCAGGACGTCCGTGATCTCCTTGATATCGTCCTGGGTGATCGTGCCGGTAGGCGCAATACTTTTGAAGTGATAGAACAGATCCGCGTTTTCGAGTAGCAGCTCCTGAGATCAGAATGATTTGTAAATAAAACTCTTTAATTGCAATAGTTTATACAGTACTTGGAAGTTGTGCTTGGCATTTTCGATTAGCTCTCTTTGGTGGGCATCGTAAATCTGCTGACAATCGTGTTCCGAAAGTGCTTCGAAACATTCACGACCCATAAACAGAACTCGCACTTCCGATAAATGTTTGCCAGGAGTCACGTAACCGGTGTCCTCTAACAATTGCTTGAATTGCTTCTTCCACCTGTACGAAAAATAAAAAGGACAAAGCGTGAAAACATATATGCATAATCGAAAAATATGCACGTATATTACCTCTTCGGCATCCTATTAATTATGTGGGTTAGATCCAATAAAAAAGAGATAACGATGGAAAACACAGACAGTCATTAGTAACAAGCATTATTTTTTATTTTAGCCGTGATCGAAAGCAAAAAAACGGGGAAATATCCTGACAAATTTTTCAATGAACTCTGATATTTCCGCGTCCTTTGCTTTCATAGAAAAAGACACCACCGAAAATGTAAAAAAAAACAGTAAAAAAGTAAGTCTTCGTACTTTTCTACCCGCACACCATAAGAGAAAATGTAATAGAAAATAAATTTTAACGTACTCCAATCGTTTCTGCTCCTGTTGCAAAACATTCACGTGATTTTTGTACACTGTTTCGGCATCGCTCGTGTCTAAAACATCATAAGGTATTCGAGAATCCTCATTATCTGAATTTAATTCACATTCAGTCCAAGGCATATCCTCGGGACACTCGTAAAAATATTGCGAGAAGTCTGGATGAGTTTTCAGGTACTGTTGAATAGATGGCCAATCACTGAAACACAAACTTGATTCACATCTATTTTTATTAACTAAGTTTAGAAAAAAAAATAAAGGTTTGTTTTGTATAGATTCATTGCAGATTTGCCCAAACAATATTTTCAAATCTGATTGCATCAAAAGTTATGTCGATTAATCAATATTAGTGTTTACCTATCAGTAAAGGTATTGATATCTGGGACTAGTTCATGTAATACATCTGGTAACATTTCCATGTACTGGGCGACCCGTCTGGCAAGCTGCTCGTCTTTCAGTTTCTTGATGTGTCGTCTGAAGAGCTTCTGAGTACCATCCAAACCGACGAGCTGCACAAAGTAGGTCCACTCCTTATGCGAATTTAACTTTTTCACGGTTTGGGACCAAAGGGCCCTACAATCGGTAACGTGTATTTTGATGAGCCTGAGGAAAGCCTCACTGGCTGCGTCCATCAGCTCCTTCCGGGCTCTAGAAGCCTCTAAATACGACACTAACTTCGATCGGACCTTGCTTCGGTCGACCATTTGTGCTAATAGTAGAAAAGCTAAGTCTACATTAACGTTATCGTGCGCTGACGTTTCCACTAGCGGAATAGCACCTTTATATTCCTTCCTCTGCACTAACTTGTCTGCCTCCCTAATGAACAGCTCATTAGCGTCGTCGTTCTTGGTGGTTACTAACACAATTGGCTTTTTAGTTTTAACTAAATTATTTAAAATGGCCGCTACGAATTCTATTTGTTTCTCTATTGACCGACTTGGCACAACACTCACATCAAAAATACAGATAAAACCATCTATGTTCAATTTCCCATCAGGTAATACTTTCTGCTCATACTCCTTCTCTATACCTAATTGATTCTTGCATATATACATCAGCTTCTCCGCCGATTGGATTTTCGTCGACGCACACCTTTTAACATAGGGCTCCATTTTGCCACCTATACAAATAAAACATACCACACATAACTAAAATATTACAAAGAACAATTTGGGCTTGTTAAACGCACTTAACGAAATGTGGGCTTTAAAGATGTAAGTGGGCAGAAATCTTACCTTTGAATGGCTGAAAGGAGGCATCATCTATGAACTCTGTCTGCTCAATAATGCTGAACTGATAATCAACCCCTTCATCTGATGTCTTTATCACCTCACCCCAATATAAAAAATGGTCATTGTTTACAACCCGTCCACTGAAATCTGTCTGACTGAGTACTGATATATGATCCACATTGTAGTCATCAGCAACAGATCTCATGAACCGGTTGCACATGCAAGATTTTCCCACACCTGCATGGCCCTTGTCTTTTTCCATGCCAGACAAGCCAACCACAGCAACACAGATGGACCGCACAGTCTCAACTTTGCGAGCCATCTTGCTCAATTTCTCTGCAGTTCAGTTGACAGGCTCTGCTCAGATTCAATAAGTAGTTGTCTTCTATGTACAGCAGCTCAAATTCAACACCATCATTTCGGAAACCTACACAAAGATTTTATTTTTCTTTAACAACCAGATAAGCTAATGAATATGCAAATTGCAAGTTAGTTATAGATGTATGTATATGTAAACATGGATATGAGAGAGGTATGTATTGGAGGAGAGTAAATGAAAGTTAGTAGCTGCATGAGTCACCCTCTTAATTATAATGAAACTGAATGTTGACTAGGTGCAATTGTTTAATTAATGGTGGAAATGCTTAGTGAAATTGTTCCTAGGGTGTTGGGCGAGAAAGGAGGTTCGTTCAGAGAAGAGAAGAGAGCGGCGGGGTTTTGTTAATAATGACAGCTACGTGAAAGGCATGTAGCAGGATGATTTTTGTTGATGCCGGAGCATAGCTAATACCTTGGCATTAAACGATCCAGCGACGACTTTTCCGTACATCCTAGCGCTCCTCAATAACACTTCTGGATCTCCGAGAACTCACAGATATTTCATATTAGAATCCACTGTCACGACTATCTACACCCAAGGTGGTGAACTGCGTTTGGTGGGTGCTGGACGTCGCAAGTCCACAGACCGGCCCTTTTCAGCGACAACTTTAATTGCTAGATGGGTTCGCGATATCTCGATTATCACTCTACTGCTCCCAGCGTCTTTAAGAACATGAGAAAAACAATAAGCACTGTCAAATTCACATTACTACCGACCACCCACCGCCTTTGGTCGACGCCATTACTGTATTTTGCGGGGGATTCACTGGTGGCGCGGTGGGTCTTCGGGCTTGCCGAAGGTAGGAAGGAGGAAAGGCAGGCAGGCAGCCAGCCAGGCAACAGCTAAGCTAGGATGCAGCCGGAGTTGGCGAGCGCCCAGAGCAGTCACGGCTAGGGCTAGGGTAAGCCGAAGGGCTCGTGTGTACAGAGCAAATGTAGCAGGGTAGCATCAGCCGCAGAGCCCAGATTTCGGATGCGGATGGTTGGGCGGAGGTATATGCTCCTGCTCTGGACAGCTCAATAAACTGTCAACCGGGAATGCCTAGCCTAGGATCAGGATCGGTGCGGGCGGATCCTGCTGCCACCACTGTTACTACCTGCTACGAAACTCGCTGCCTCACCCCCCCAGATTACATTCCATCGCTTCGTGCAAACTGCGCCCCTTATTAAAACCACTAATTAAAGCCAATGCTGTCTCAATAACAACATATTGCGAATTCCGCTAGTAGTACGCAAAGGGCATATTATATCTCAATACTCAAACATTAATCATTGTATTTCATTCATTAATGTTTAAAACAAATCTGTCTGATAATATTGATCTATGTTCTCTATTTCCTAATTGATTATTAATTCCAAATTTTGTATATAGATTATTCCCATTAACTAAAATTTAAATATGTTCGAACATTTGTATTAGAAATTACCAAAAACCTTAAAAAAAAGTTTGTTTTATCTATCTCTATTTATTAAGAAAGTTATTTTAAAAGTTTAAATTAACTTTCAGTTAAAATTGTACTAGAAAATCAATTGATTAATGTACAACACTTAAATTACCTTATGTAATCTGTCCAGCTTGTTTCAAACAACAATTTATTTATTTCCACAAACGAAAATTTGCATTGCGCTCGTCACAACCATTACACTAATTATAAATGCTAGCTATTTCCTTTTAGTCGACAAACATGTTGTCCTTACACGGGCGATTGAATTTCTCCCTCACTTTGTTGATACTGCGGTCAAATAATTATTATGTAAAATGTGTCATGCAATTCATTAAGTTCCAAACAAACTGTGAAATCACATTTTGAATATTGTTATTGTAATACCATTTTATATACATTATATTACAATCATATATATCTAATTGTATATATTAGGGATGGCCAAACTTTGGCTCACGAGCCTCATGCGGCTCTTCAAGAGTCTTGTTGTGGCTAGTTGAGCCGCAACAAAACACAAATATTATATATATTTTATATTATGATGTAAAAAGTCTGGCTACCCCTGGAATATATCTAATATAAATTAATTCATTCTTAAGAAAATGTTAAATCAAAATTAACAATGATATTTATTGATGAAGTTATAAATTTATCTTATTATTATAATTAAACATTGCAGGAGATTGATTTTTTAATTTAGTATTTCTAAATTTATTGCTTTAAACTATTACAAATTAAGGAAAAGTAATAATAATAATAATGTCTATTGCATTAGTCGTACAAAAAAAACATACAGTCAACTGATACAAAGGGCTATTGACCATAGGTCTTTAATAAGGAAAAGGTATTAAATAAAAGTTATGTTTGAGTTAGGCATCCCTCCCAACTGCTATGTGTTTCAAGAAAAAAAATGTTTAATACTTCTTAATTTAACAAATTATCATTGATCTACTAAATTATAAATTGTTTGTCCATGGTCTGAAAAATGTACAGAAAATTAAAACTAATTTACCATGAACTTTATTTCTTCCAATTAAGATCTTTGATAATAGTTGTAAGATAGTCCGCAACTTAGCGCTGGTGTTTGCTTCTCTTAGCGTCGGTTTTGTAATTTATTTTATTTTTTTTGCCGTAAGTGAGAATGGTGTGAATGGCTGAACGCATTGAACGGCAGTTTATCGTATTTTCAAGTAGTGTTATTGTTACATCCAGAATATAAGAAATTCTGATGAAGAAGCTATATACCTGAAGCCGATGTGCAGAAATGATCAATTAGCAACAAATTATAGCTGTTTAATAAATAATTAATTAATCTGTGACTATATGGATTTGTACAATAAGTGAGTGTTGAAGTCTATTATTTATCTATAAACAATTATTCGAGGTTATGTGATGGGTAGTTGATGTTGAATAAAAGCTGCCTGAATTCAATCTACTTGCCTCCTCCGTTGGATGATATTGGTACAAATATATGTGACTTGTTTTTAGAGATGGGAGGGTGTCGTTGTACCTACAAGACATGCAAAAGTGCAACAAAAACAACAGACCTACACTTCTTCCATTACCCTGTAAAACATCATGTAAGATGCATGCGCTGGATCCAACAGGCAAACAGATTGGAATTCATGAATTTGCCAGATGACCAACTACGTAACAAAGTGATTTGTGGCCTTCATTTTGAAGATAAATACTTTACAAATGATCAGAAAAAACGCCTTGTCCATGATGCTATACCAACATTAGATGCAGGTTGCTTTGAGACTGCAAACTATGTAAAAGATGTGGAAATACTTCCAACAAGTGTTGATGGCTCCACATTTACCTTGCAGGGGGAAAACTTGCAGTCCTCAGGTTGTGGAAATGAAAATTTTAGCTTTAAAGATGGGAAGGTGATGTTGCAAAATTTTGCAAACAACTTGGAAGTTTATACAATCAATCCATCATATATACAACAATCATTCACAAGCAATAAAGATATGTTCATTAATCAAAGTGAATCCTTGATGCTCATGCAAGAGTCACAAACAGAAGAGAAGGATAGCATATTCAATGATTTGGATATAATAAGAGACCATTGCCTTGAAAAAGAAGTAAAGCCTGAGCCTAAGATAAAGCAAGATATTAGTTTTGACGTATGTATTTCGCCGCCAATCGTTCCGCTTGCCAATGGCGATTGTAAATATAACCCCGGGATTGATACAGCCCCTATTTTCACAGGAACTGAGGACGTTCCTCCTAAATCGGCGGATAAGATCAGAAAGGTGAAGCTGAAGAAACCGACTCTGTTAAAAACCCTTAACTATCACTCGCAAGAAATCGCAAACATCAAGAGATCGCTGGCCTCGACGAAGTTCTCGAGGGCCAAGATCTTGCGTAGCCTTAAAGGGAAAATTCCTGAAACCATGTTCGGCGCGTTATCGCTGCAGCTCAACAAGACTTGCAGTGATCTGAAACCTGAGGAAAAGTCATTTCTGCATGCCCTTCATACGATTGCACCTACCGCCCACAAAACTTTAGAAGACTATGGATGGCACATGCCCAAGCACGAAATAAATAACGGAACTATTGACATTAAATAAATATGTCAATAAAAATATTTTATTTTAATGAATCTAAAATTATGTTATTTAATCTTCAACCTAATTAATTCATTAGCATTACTTCATTGTTTGAATTTATCTTATTCTTATGTATGTTATGTATTTGTATATAAAAATTTGTATGTTATTATGTTTATATCAACAGTGACAGTTTTCATTCATCAATAAATTTGAATTTTCATTCGACAATAAACTTGTATTTCAATGTGTGATGATAGGTCTCGCCAGGGTAGAGGATTGCCTTCGGGAAATCGCTCTAAAAATTCAAAATTAAAGATGTGCCTATTCGACCTATTTAAATGTTTTCCACGAACCTGATTAACGGCGTCTGGATAGTTTTGGGTTTCCAAACAAATGGCCGAATGTTTATAATAATTCGCTCCATCTTTTCCTACTACCTTCTGCAATTTTGTTATATCTGCTCCCATGGGCGCATCCTTGGGATCTTCCGGTAGCCCGTTAGATGTATAAAATTGTACTCCATATTGATTACTGTATACTTCTAACGCTCTCCCAGTTGCATAATGCTGGATCCTACGAATTGCGCGAAAAATTTAAATAGATTTATATAATACTCGTAGCTTATGAGCTCGTTTCACCCAATGACCAATCAAGATCATGTTACCGCTTATCGCTCGCTCTTATACAATTATTATTATTTTATCATGGAATTAGTCAGACGTAGATATGCATTGTTGTAATTGAATCAGTCATTGTTTGCAAAGGGGCAAAGGCTAACGAGCTCCTCTAATCCCAACTCTACCTGGACACAAAAGTGTTCTGCTGTTCGCTGGCGCGGTTTATACAGAAGTTGTGGTCGTATCCGTTCACTACAGGAACTTTGTGGATGACGCTGCCCAGTTGTTTCGGAATCCGCAGATCAAATATCGTGTTGCAGACAGGAAGCAATTTACCTGTTGGATAACAGAAGTTGATGGTAATTAGTCGTCGCGCAAGACTCCGTTCGCTTACCTGTTGGTATAAAGTCTTCATCGACTTCGGTGATGCGGTCCGCGTTTATTGACACCTCGTGCTTGTATATCTCTTGAGCGCCCTTTTCGTGTCCGGCCAAGTTGAAATAGGAGTGATTCGTTAAATTAACCACCGTCGGTTTAGTAGTCGTTGCAGAGAAATCTAAAAGAAATTCGTTGCTGTTTGTTAACTCGCAGGAGACGTTCACCAGAACATTTCCGGGATAGCCCTCATCACCATCCGCCGAATCAAGGCTAAATACTACCCGATTTCCGCTCACATAATAGTCCCAGTTGTACTGCAATATAAAAAAAAAACTGTAGTATATGTGCGATGATATCCTAATAGGTCGTACCTTATCGAAGCCTTTGAAACCTCCGTGGAGTTGGTGTCTACCCAGGTTCGCGCTGAGAGCGTAGGTCGCTTGGTCTATATTGATCCTAGCACCTCCAATTCTATTAGCGACGCGACCCACAGTTGCACCGAAATAGGGATTTGCGGAACTGAGGTAACCTTGAGCGCACAATTAAAGGTAAAATCAATTAAAACAAATACACAAAGAAAGTATTTAAGATTAGCCTTCATCAAACATCATATATATATATTAACAATTGCATTAACGTTAATTTTACAAAGCAAATATATCAAAAGAATAAAATGTGCATTCGTAAATGCAGCAGATTTCGTTTGTCATTGATCCATGCTCTTTCTCTGTCTCTCCCCTCCCTTTATACCTCTTTATTACAGAAGCACTCGTACATCCAGCTTAAAACACTGTCCAAAAATAAATCGTATCTGTTTGCTATTCAGATGCATAGTTCCAACTTACTTTCGATTATACAAAAATTCAATCCTATACGTTTCTTTTCGGTACATAATGCACATGTTTTGATTAGTTGATGAAAATACGTACATGGAAAAAAATGTAAGTTTTCGCGTTTTATTCAATCAATTTAAAAAAAAATACGCGAAAAACGTGATGATCATGTTCGCATCTTGCATCTTCTTCACCTCTTAGGTCATGTAAACCTGTTTCGCAGTATAAAATTTGAAGTCGAGTCGTTCATTCAATATTAGCCGCTTTGAATTTCATATATTTCATGTATATTTTATTTAATATTGCAACAAGGAAGTTGTTCTTCCCTATTGTCGAGAAGTATGTATTTTTTATGTTATTATTTATGTAAGTAATTTAAAGCAGTTGCGTCACGTATTGTAGATTTCATATTGCAGGAACAAGTTACTTATCATTTCGAATATTTTGTTGTTCCAGCATCGAAGATAATTGCTATAATGCGTTTTATTTTCCTGGCAAATAGTATGTAATAAAAGACGGAAACGTTAAATCTTTCATCCTATGATTAAACTAGTATTTTTCTGTCTCATTTTCCTTCTTTGTTATTCGTCAATTACTTCTCCGTCAGATCTCGTGATTCGAATCATTCAAAGTTCAACTGCATAAATTCATCAATATTTTTCAACTCTCGATCGAATTTGCTTGTCAACCTAATTATTTCAAGGATGCGAAACACAAATCACGAATGAAGCGGTGTATGAGAACGGATAACGGCTGATAGCGCGATAAAATTTCGCGGAACTTGTTTTTACAAGGATTTATGTTTTGTTGTGTTATGCATCTAATATTTGATGCTCTATCAAAGCCAGGAAACTCGTTTAATTGTATACTATAGCTCGAGTTAATTAATTACAATTACCTCTTTCGTGGGTGTAAGTTCGCGGAGCATGCAAATGAAATATTGCGTTTTTACCTGCGATGTTATTGTATCCCAAGACAATGTCATCAAATTTTCCGTTCCTGTCTGGTAATTTAATGGACGTTATGGTTGCTCCGTAGGTGATCATTTTTATTACCACGCCGTTGCCATTTGTCCAAGTGAACTGCCTGACGGAGGTTGCTTGACCGGTAGTCTTGTCCACCAGAAAGTCGAAGTGATCTTCCTCGAGCACAACATCCTCGTACTTGCAGGACATCTTCGGGCTCTGAGAAGCTAACACTGTCTTCGCCTTCGCCATCTTCGGTGCAAATAAAATAGAAGGACCACAGAGACGTCCGTTATATAATTGGATGTATTTCCTTTTGCGGCTAGTTCTACCTACAAACTAGACCGCAAATCAAACAAACAACAGCTAATCTTATCTTGCGAGCTGCTCCACTTGCTGCATTCCTGGTACAACAATACTTCTAAAATCAATCGCGTATTAGGCGACGCTTTTGCAAATAAATGATAAAACATTAAAAAAAAAACAATAATATCTATTTAGATTTATCAATTTTTAGTAATTTTAAATCTTTCGGCTTGTTTCCAGTTTGTTATGACCTCGAGCATATTACAAAAAAATCATTTCACTTTCGTGTATCATTAAGACGATCAAGTCCTAAACTATTTTTTTTTGTAAATATTTTTATGTAAACGTGTTTAATAGATAGCAATTCATGTGCAATTATGTTCTTTTTAAATGTTCTCGTGACAAGTGTAATAGCAGTTCGAAATAAATTTGTTTTCATTTTTAATTTTGTTATTTCCAGAGTAGTTTCAGAAACATAAGCGAATCAGTATGATTTGAATTGCACTACTCTTCGCGACATGGATAAAGAAACAAACAACATCAAGTGGTACCAGCGCTTCACTTACAGCGTTGTCACCTACACCGAGCTGTTCTTCTACAAGTAAGTTTAAGAAGATAGCAATATTTGCGGATTGTAATATTTTCCAATCTAGATTAGGAATTCGTATCGCGAAAAGTCCTTTTATTACCATCGCGTTATGCTGGATGTTTGTTATCTTGAGCGCTTTCGGATTATTCCGGTTCCACCAGGAGAAGAGTCCTATCAAGCTGTGGGTACCTCCAAATTCGCAATTTGTTGCCGATTCCGAACGGCTGATGGAAACATTCGAGACGGCATACCGTATCCAGATGATGCAGATAGTTGCCGACGATGTTTTAACGCCGGAAGTGTTTATGGAGCTGCATGAAGTAGACGAACTCGTGCGGAACTCTGTAACAAGAAGCGGAATCCACTGGAACGATGTATGCTTTAAGATACCTCAAATCGATCAAGGGATGTACACTCTTATGATGCCTTATCGGCGTGGAAATAACACCGAAGATTTCGATCCGAGCCTCGAAATGGACACGGACACTTATTGTGGAATGATCGAGGGTATTGAAAAAGAATGCTTTGAAAAAAGTGTTCTGGATTTGTGGGATCATAGCGATCGGAAAATAAAAAAACTAACAAAGCAGGCAATCGTCGATAAAATTAATAAATTTAAAATTGAGTAAGTCTGAATCAAATTAGATTTTTAAGCTATATTAATGAATTTCAAATTCAGTCCGTTGTTGGGGCAGCTGAAGAACTACGGTGATTTACTAGGAGGGGTAACTACGAACTCGACTGGGCATATAATTGCTGCGAAATCGCTCAATAATTATTGGATGGCTTTGTTGAATTTCTCAGCTGTGAACATGGATGAAATCGGAAATAGTGCTGGCACTAACGATTGGGCATCTGCTGAATGTTTAGAATGGGAAGAGACTTTCTTGAATATTATGAAGTATTCTGCTCAACGTGCAGAAAACTTTAAAATTTACTACACCGCAGCTAGAAGGTGAATAATTCCAATAACCATATAATCCATACTCAAATTATATTTTCAGTTTTGGAGACATCAGCGGCGCCACGATGTTCCAAGATTTAGATATCTTATTCATAGGTGTCTTCATCATGGTTTTTTATGTTCAATTTGTTATTTCGAAATTCAATTGCGTCGAAGCCAGAGTAATATTATCAATGAATTAACAATTGCTTTATACTTAAAAAAAAAATATATTTTCTCGCAGATGATCCTAGGATGCTTCGGCTTGCTTAGCGTCGGCATGGCTTTTGTAGTTGCGGCTGGACTTTGCTCGCTATTCGGAGTATTTTATGGTCCCGTGCATACATCTCTGCCGTTCCTGCTAATGGGTTTAGGTAATTAGAAAACATCGACTTTCACGGATGCTGTTTTACGTTTAATTTTTATAAGGTGTTGATGATATGTTTGTGATCATGGCGTGCTGGGAGCAATTAACGCCAGAGCAAAAGTTGCTTCCTCTTCCAGAAAAGGTTGGAGCTATGATGAAACATGCAGGTGTTTCGATCACAGTTACAACAGCTACAGATGTTTTGGCTTTCTTCATAGGATCTTCAACGGTACGCGATTTATGTTTAAGTTCTTCGCAGTTAGCTAATATTATTTTTAGATCTTGCCATGCTTGCAATCGTATTGCATTTACGCTGCTTTGGGTGTTCTCATGACATTCATCTTCGTAGTCACTTTTTACGTGGCTTGTTTCACCATCGATCAACGCAGAGTCGAAAAACACATCAGCGGATTCTGGCCTTGGAAGAGGTACGAGAATTACAAACCTAATCCGTTCAGCCAAGCGGAAACTTCGAACAAGGTCTTCAATTTGATTTATTCTAAAGTCATTTTGACTTGGCCTGGAAAGTTGTTGGTGCTGTGTATCACTTTAATATGTTTGGGATTAAGTATAGAAAGTGTGTTCAAATTGGAGCAACGCTTCGATCCGACATGGTTCATTCCGCAGCATACCTATTTAGGAGAATTTCTTAAACAGAAGTTTGAGTATTTTCCAAATAATGGTTTTGAAGCTGCTACTTACGTTGGGGCAGTGAACTACACGTACGAATTTAAAAATGTTATCCACATTGACTCCCAATTAGAGAACAGTTCCGATATCGTCACTGATATCAACTCTTGGGTTGGACCATTCCGGAATTACGTTAAAGTAAATTATAAAATAGGTATTAAACTTACAGAACAGTTCTTTACAAATACTACAATATAAATTCGGCATTTCAGATATTTATAATGAAACTTTGGAAGAGACCAAGTTTAACGATTTCCTTTCAAAATTCTTATTCAGCATGAAAGGGGCCCAATTCCAAGGTAACTTCAAGTTCGAGAAGCCATTACAATGCGGTATTCCCGCCCCTAAAATAATGGTAATACTAGCATTTCTTATCGAATTTTAATATATTAACATTTCACATTTATAGATGTCTAGCATCGATTACAAATTTAAATTATTCTCCGGTCCCGAGGAACACGTTCCGGCAATGCGTAGGTCAATGTCTATTTCGAAAGATGTGAATTTCACAACTGGCGACAGATTTTCAACGGCCTTCTCCAAGGTTTTTGCTTCGTGGATCACGGATGAAGTAAACCAGTAAAACTATATTTACATATTATTAATCGTTTTGTTATAGGTCATCGATGCTGAATTGTTAAGAAATTTGCAGCTCGCCTTGATTGCAGTCATGGCGTGCACAATGCTACTGATAGCAAACTTACAGATTTGCTTTTGGGTCTTCATATGCATTCTACTTTCTATCGTCAACGTTTGCGGCTTTATGCAGCGCTGGGGATTGACTATAGATTTAGTTACTTGCATAGGTTTGACGCTAGCCATAGGATTGTGCGTAGATTACGCAACCCACATAGGTCATACTTTCCTGACCATAGGCGAGGGAAGTCTGAATGATAGAGCCTTGAAAACTGTAACCTCCATTGGATCTGCAGTTCTTTATGGCGGTACATCAACGCTAATAGGAGTTGCAATGCTAGGCGTCTCCGATGCTTACAACTTTCAAACATTTTTTAAAGTCAGTGTCACAATATGTTGTTTTTTTTTTTAAATTTAACTAATTTTGTACTATTTTACAGATTTTCCTTTTAGTCGTTATATTCGGTTTATTTCATGGTGTCGTCTTATTGCCTGTGATTTTGAGCTGCATTGGACCCAAGCCTTATTTCACCCACAAGCTAGTGCAGCAGACGGATATCGCTCTTACATAATTACATATATTTTTAAGAAGTATTAGCTCAATTTGATTACATCACGAATCTCGTTAATTTTTAATGCCATTTCATATTACATATATACTAATACCAAAAACTATTGTTTTAAGAAGATTATATATGCCGTAGTTATACGTAAATAATAACAATAATGAGATGAAAATTCAAAATTGATTTATTATCATTATTAGACTACTATTACATAAATCGTAACACCGAATGTACTCGAAGTGCAATCAATAAGTCTCTTAGATAGAAAAAAAAACACATAATAACCCTGCCCCGCCCTCGCGTCTTTTTGTACTGAAAAATATTTACTTACAATAACTGTATGTTTATTATATTAAAAAATGCACATTTAAAAAAATATAATAATATATCTATATATAATGTATAAAATCAGTGATGCTAAAATGAACAGAACAGAAGAAATTAAAGGTAGTAAGTCGGCATCTGTTTCTATTTCTAAAACAATGGTGTTACATAATAAGGTGATCGCTGTTACTTACAAAACGGTAACCAGCAATATCTACTTTGCTCACTGCAACGGATGGATGTAGTTCTCATACTTAGCGGCAGTTAGGCCAACTTTCTTTTTGGCACACAATCAACAAAAATGTAACATGTATAAATGAATGAATCGATCAAGAAAAATATATATATATAAAGTAAATAATTCGAACGTAATTTAGAAATACGTATCAACAAATGTTAAATGAATCGTTCCTTCAATGAAACCCTGAGCTTGGTTATGCTTCTCATTGCTATCGCGAGTTTAAAAAAAAAATATATATATATAATTTATTATCACGACGTTTGTAAAATGTTCTTCAGATCGTCCGGCAGAGAGCTTATAATATCTTGCAGACGTTGTTCCAATTGCTCTTTGATAGTATGACTTACAGGTATGTCATGTTGTTCGCACTTTTTTATTTTATTCTTTATCTTCAAGACCATGTCCACGATCTCTACTTCCGGTTTTCCTTGTACCCACAACTTTAGGTCCTGTTGATAGATCAATAGTTAAGAGTCGAGAACCTAAGTATTAAGGACAACTTACGGCGTCTGAAAGTGCTTGAAGCTGTAAAGCTTGCAGTTTCAACGCAAGTTCGGTGTAACGGTTGTTAAACCAACCGTTGAAGTTCGGCGACCTAAAGAACTTCTTATATAAACCAACCCAATCTCCTTTGATTCCTGTGGTTAACTGCGGCCCAGCCGTTTCCAGCATAGCAAAGAAGTCATCTGGATTGAACGGCAACGGAGTAGGGGCTGCCTATTTTTTTTTAAATTAATTTTAATGTATCAGAATGTGAGTTTATTTACCCTAAACGGGGAAATGTTCTTCAGCAGTGGCATCAAACTGGCTATGTACCTTTCCAAAGGAATCATAAAACTGTGCGTTAACTCTAACAAGTGTTTTTTAAGTAGAGCCGATTGTACTTCGAATGGTCTTTTCGTGTTAATACCGCTGATCAGATTTTTGATCATTGTCTTATCCTTTTGCAAGAATGGTTTATAAGAACTGTAGACGCCTGGCGTGGAATCGAATATCTTGGAGTTACCGTTCTTCTTCAGCTTGTACTTTTGGTATTGACCTTTGGATGAAAGCAGATGAGGTTTGTTAAAGTAAAAACCGTCGAGTAACGTACCATAGTCTTCACCTAATCGCACCGTGTGCGGCCAATGGTGCAGCGTCTTCGCGAAGAACGGATTGGTAACGCCAAGTATAACTGGCGGTGTACCATGAACTTTGTTCGTAAATTGCTTAAAATCGCTATCATGTATCGTGAAGTACGTTCTATGATCGGCGCAGAATTTTAATGGAGAAATGATCCTGGTGAGAGCCAGTACCATCAGCGAGCAATGGTTCGGAGATGAGGCCATTACAATTAAAGGCTCGGCGGTTATCACAAGTTCCCACAGCATATCGATGTGGGACAACACGGGTTGGAAAATATCAAATAAGTTCAGATCTTCAACAGAAGCTTGAATCTGATTCTCTGAGCTAGTGGCCACTTCATTCAATCCAGCCAATTGCAAAATCAGTGAAGTGGAATTTCGTTGATGTGGTATGAAAGTCTAAAATTGTTGCTATTAATAAAAATATTTATATAACACAATCAATGAAATTACTTGAAATACTGAACCTAGTAATGGTAAACTTAATGTTAAACCAGGCACTGGTGTGGGCCATTGATCTATGTTATAACATGCAGCTTCTAAACTAAGATTGCCATTATCAAAGTATTCAGGAGCTATTACAGATATAATCTTGGTGAATAAATTATTGAACGGTAGCCTCGACAGTATGACAACACTCTTCTGAAAATAGCCTCTAGGTAGTTTAATATCCTTGACTTGCCGAAAGTACACATAACCCCAGTAGTAAGCTGGATTTATCTGCAAAGCTGGTGGACATTTAGAATTGTAGGCTGTGTGAACATTGCTCAGCACAGCTTTCGATGGGCAGCTTTGTAAACGAACTATAAAATTGGTATCACCCATACATCCAGAATTTGAGTCAGGGAATGCCAGGTAACATATGTTCAAAGTCTCTTGTTTTGTCAGTGTCACATGAGGTGGATAAATGCTCTACAAAATAAAAACAATGATATTTAACTACAGATGTAAAAGTAAACAGAATTTCTCACCTCAAGAGCTTGCCCCAATTCCAAATCAAAAGTCACAACACAGATACAGTGTATCCAGTTCGAAAACTTCTCCCATCTTTTGTGCGTCTCTAAATAAAATCCATTTGTGAAATTTGCCTGATCCTCTTTAATATTAGACATATTGTAAACTGTATCCTTTTTAATAGCATTGAAAATTGATGGAACACTTATTAGTTAAACTACGTGATTACTATCTAAACAAATCCACGAACTAAATAACATTCCATCTTGTCTCTTATTAATTTCGTGAGATAAACATGTGCACCTTTCGGACAACTGACAACAACATTGTAATTGTTTCGCAAACTTCGTACAATTTCGTGTTAAAAAACAGACAAAAATAACCATCCTCTAATGGTTATTTTGACGTTCTGCTAAGCACGACGTTCTTGCAGAGGAGTGGGGTGTCGTAATACAACCGCGCGAATTTCAAAATATTTAAATTTCACTTTAAACATATCTATTAGTAATTATTTTAAGGGTTTAAAGAACAAATAAGGCTTTCAATTATATCATGAAAAAAAAAATCTTCAATAAATTTATTGTTTTAAAGAGGTCTAAATTGGAGATACATTATATTGTTCAGAACATGAAAACACTCTAATATGTTTATTCTTCACTACCTATACATGTTTAGGTTTGAAATCATGGAAGATTAAACAATACTTACAGAGATAATGAAGCTAAAATAATTATGGATTGCAAGTAGAGGTCAATACGTCATAATCTAAAAGTAAAATTATCTTTAGCACGTCGTACAGATATAATACTTGAGATAGTAATTATTTTTTGTTTTTTGGCGCAAGTTCAAGGCCTCGAATATATTTTTTAGGAATTTTATATTTTTCTGTAAAATAAAAGATAATTATTAAATCGAATTTCCACTCGAGCAAACACGTTATATATATACCAACTAATAGATTATATACGAAGAGGATCTGATTTCCTTGGATCAAAATTTGACCGTACTTCTTTCCTGCTGGTCTATTGATACTTGTACTAGCGGCAACGCCGTGTTGGCATTCCTTAGCAAATTCCGGTAATCTGATATTATACAACTCCAAGTTATCCACCATGGTTACTTTCTTGTTGTGAGCTCTTGCTTGCAGGGTCATGGCTATGGGTTGAATTTTTCCCTTCGTCGTGACCTCTTGTTCAGTGCTAGAGACTTTGAAACAGGATTTCATAGCTGCTCTAACTTTTTCCATCAAATCCTCCCAGGTGACAGCCACCTCGTTTTTGCACAAACTCTTCAGTACAGGATCTTGCAATTTGACAAACCTCAAAAATAATAATTTAAAAAATTGTTTTTCTTTCTATTATACTGAGGCTTAAAACTTGTGCTTAAAACAGGAAACCTTTTATTTTGCTCATCTTGGCAATTACGACTTCTTACATATTCAGTAACATATCTTCTAATTTGAGGTACTTGCATATTGTCCCCTTTACTAAAATACAATTAAATTAGTAATGTATTTGATTAAATTATATTGTTAACTTACTTAAATCCATATTCTTTAAAAATTGGCAAAACCGCGGTTGTAATCATATATGATTCTACAATGTTCCTTGCCTGAGAAATAGTGTCATCCTCATTAGTAATTTTTCTAGGTCGATTTTCAATTTCAATGTACAAGTTCAAAAAAGCAGGGTGCTGTTTGTTAATAGCTTCAATATTTTCAACGCCCTTTTTCTTCTCTTTAACAACGATTATCCCATCCTAAAAAGTGATTGCTATTATTTTGCAAAAAAAATAAAATCTATTAATATTTATACATTTTCCAGTTGTTTTAGAACCTGTCCAACCTTTTTGTAACTAGACTTTTTAATATCTAAAGTTTTAGCTTCAGGGCAATTAGTTAATACTTCTAATTTGAAAAAAGTTGAAGTCAACATGGGCAATTCTAATGTTTTTGAATACTTCAAAGCTGTCATAATGCATCTAATTAAAAGTATATCCATTTCTTCAACTTCACTCAACTGAGGTAAAATTAATTCAACAACATCACAATTTTCCTCAGGGTTTTCTAATGGGATATCTTGTGGAGGTAACACTTCAGCAATGCTTGTTAATGCTGGGAAATCATCTGCATTTTGCACATAATCTGGAGGACTTAGTTGCATCAGAGGTAATAATGGTAAATCATCAAAAGTACATAACTTATCACCATAATAATGAAATATGTTTACACATTTTCCACTATTAACTTTGCTCATTTCTACAGAAGACATTGCAGTTAAACCAACAGCAACTGCAGCTTTATTGTTAATATTATTAACAATTGCTACCTGTTTGCAAAGGAAATTTCCTTTTGATTGTGGTGTATTGATGACACCAGGTAACATAAGATCAGCACCATTTGATATCTTGGACATAACATAGTCATTGGTTGTAAACTCAACACCAATCTGAGGGAACATCCAGAGCATATACACTGTTGGAAACATTATATCATCAACCATAAAGAAAAGGGCTCTTTTCTGGGCAGTGTATATAGTAACATGTTTGTTATTATCAGCAAGCACTTTAAGGCATGATGTTACTTCCTTTTTTGGTAACAAGGTTTCCATATCATTTTCTGTCAATTGAGGAAACTTCCTTAAGAACAAATCTTTGATACCTTTCCTACAATATGTTTTTATTAAAAATAACTAATATTCAGTTAAATATAAATACCTTTCAGAGCCCTTGATCTGGGAATTGGTTTTAACTTTAAATGGTTTCTTGAACATTTTGGAATTTAACTAAACTTTAAATAATTACCAAAAAAATCGTGCTTTACAGGTTATGCAGTATATATTTTTTACAATAATAGAAATAAAATTAATATAAATAAAATATGCCTGGTGGCATCAACTACAACTTACAGCTTCATGGTTATACCAATGAATGGCGCAGAGTAGCAAATAAGTGTATATTACTAATAAATTAATTCCATAACCTTAAGATTAAGGCACTGAAGGTCACTATTGTCATCATCCTAGTTTAATGACATAATCAGTACAGTTTCTGGGAAAGAGATGGCGTTTGTTAAATGTTAAGAAAAATTGTTTAATCTCAACACACACAACTTCTTTAAATACTTGATAAATAGGATAACAATAAATCTATCTTTGTTTACACTAGTTTAATAACTTTCCTATTAATTAAATATAAACAATATTACCTACGTCTAGGCACTACTAGGCACCTCCAAGAGGGAAGTGTCTTTTATTTTAATAATCAAATTTGTAATACGTATTGCGAATTACTTTTTGTTTTTAATTATTTATTTGTTATTTAGATGCAATTTAAGTGCGAAATAAAGTTCGATAATGATGTACAGGAGTATTATCTCAACAAGGTGGATTGATCTTTCAGGATGATAATTTTGTAAATGGAAAACAATGTTATCATGCAATCAAAATTCGGCAATGATAAGAGATTATACCAGACAAAAAAAACAACAGAAAAACTCAAATGTGTGGTCAAAATTGCTTAAAATGTTATGCAACTTCTTTGTCTTGCCATGTCTGTGGCAATCAATGACCTGCAATTATTAAAAGGAAAGTTATTATTATCTGTGTTAAATAAGAAGCATTATAAGTAGATAAATATGAATTTTGTTTATAAAGCTTTTGATAATCTTATATTCTGTTTGGTTTTGCAGACGTTTTAATTATTTTATCCTTGTCCAACACACATACCCGATCAAAGTCTACGTCAATCGACGTAGATAAAGGAGTATTTCAGTAAATTTCTGAGTGTATATAAATTATTGTTCGTTCGAACGTGGTGCAAACAAGTTGCTGATATAATATAATTGAATACTAGGATCAAAAATGGGTCGCGTTTTCGTTGTTGGTGTTGGGATGACCAAAGTAAGTCTGGATTATCAATTGTGCCCACAAAATATTAAAAAATATATATTGTTAGTTTGAGAAGCCAGGAAAGAGTGATGGAGACTATCCAGATTTTGCAAAGGAAGCTATAGTTGCAGCACTTCAAGATGCTGGTGTTGCTATGAGTGAGGTGGAAAAGGCAGCTTGTGGTTTTGTTTATGGTAATGTCATTTACTCTTCGAGAATTGAGTTGAGATATAGATTTTTTTACAATTATAGGTGACTCCACTTGTGGCCAGAGATGTGTTTATGAAGTGGGCATGCATGGAATACCAATCATAAATGTTAATAACAATTGTTCAACTGGTTCAACTGCTCTGTACCTTGCTAAAGAGTTTGTGCAACACGGTGCAAATGATTGTGTGCTTGCTCTTGGTTTTGAAAAGATGGAGAGGGGCAGTTTATCTGCTAAATTTTTTGATAGAACAAATCCTTTGGACAAGCATGTAACAGCCTTGGCAGAGGTTGCACCTCTGGATCAAGCACCAATGGCTGCACAATTCTTTGCTAATGCAGCTGTAGAGCATATGAAGAAGTATGGTACAAAGGCAGAGCATTTTGCCAAGGTTGCATACAAGAATCACAAACATTCTGTAAATAATGAGTTAGTGTTGCATCAATTGCTGCATGACAAGAATGATAAAATTAAATTTTTTATAGGAGATCTCAATTCCGCGATGAATATTCGCTGCAAGATATCATGAAGTCTCAAAGGGTTTCTGGACCTCTGACCAAACTGCAATGTTGCCCCACAAGTGATGGCGCCGCTGCAGCAATCGTAGTTTCAGAGAGGTTTGTGAAGAGTCACGGTTTGGAAGCAAAAGCCGTTGAAATATTGGGTATGGAGATGGTGACCGATTTGCCTTCCACATTCAATGCACCCAGCGCCATGACGTTAACCGGTTATGATATGAACAAACTCGCCGCGGAGCGTTTGTTTGCAAAGGCAAATCGCAGGCCCACAGACGTACAAGTCGTGGAATTGCATGATTGTTTTTCTGCAAATGAGCTAATCACCTATGAAGCTTTAGGACTTTGTCCGCCCGGTAAAGCAGGTGAAATGATTGATCGCGGTGACAATACCTATGGTGGGAAGTATGTTGTAAATCCAAGTGGGGGTTTGATATCCAAAGGTCATCCGCTCGGAGCAACAGGTTTGGCGCAGTGCGCAGAACTCACCTGGCAGTTGAGAGGAGAGGCTGGAAAGAGACAAGTTCCTGGTGCAAAATTAGCTCTTCAGCATAACATTGGTTTAGGAGGTGCAGTAGTCGTCGTCTTATACCAGTTAGGTTTTCCGAAAGCAGGTACTAACCCAGCCGCGATGGAGAAGCCAAGTGCTATTGGGGACGCCGACTTCAAGGTTACACCATACCTGAAGGTCCTTCAACAGGCCATGGAGGAGGATACTGACAATCTCATTGAGAAACATAGGGCCATTTACGGTTTCCGCGTTAAAAAACCTAACGGCCAAGAAGGTTACTGGGTAATAAATGCTAAATCAGGCAAAGGTTCAATTGAATTCAACTCCAAACGTAAGTTCGGACAAATGTAGATGATGAATCCATTAATAGAAAATACTTTTGATTGCAGTTAAACCAGATGTTACATTCATAATGAACGACGAAGACATTATTGAATTAATCTCAGGGAAATTAAATCCACAAAAAGCGTTCTTCCAAGGAAAGGTTAAGATTATTGGCAACATGGGTCTGGCCATGAAATTGACCGATTTGCAACGATCTGCTTCCAAAAAGATCGAAACTCTTCGATCAAAGTTGTAAGCAAACCACTGTGTTTATTTACATTGTTATTGATGTTATTTCTATATTGAATATTTTATACATAAATATATATCTCCTTTTTTTATAACCCATGAAGTTAGTGGTTGGGGTCTAGTATATGCATTTGATATATTTTAATGTATTTTCAAAGGGTTATTTTTATATGACTATTTTAATTAAAAACATACAAAACTGAGCAAACATCAATCTAAGTTTTGTTAATATTACAGAGTATTGTTTATCATTTATTTCACGATAACCTTTCTATGCAATTATTGACGTTAATCATTTGATTTGTACGCTAGTATTTGTTTTCAAGCTTGTTTACAAACATTGACTTGTGTACCCTAATTAATATAATTTGCTTTCATGCATTTTAATTGAACGAAAATCAATTAAAGTACATGATTTCCATTTAATACCTGTTATAAACATTTTTTTAATTAAATAATTTTACATGGTACTAAATGTACAGTACTTTAACCCAAATAGATGCGTCATAACAGTTATTGTTTCTTATAAAAACAACGGTCATTTGGAGAGAACAATGAAATTTTAATCAATTAATTTCTGTATTTTAACAATACATTTTTTAATATGATTACAAAATTGAGAATTTATAGTTTATATATAGATTATTAGAAGATGTAACTATTGTAAAATTAGCAAACCAAAACAGGTTTATATTTATTACATTCATTGTATTCAGTTATTATGTACATTTTATTAATAATTGTTATTAATACCAAAAGTCGCTTTTATTGCATTGATTTTGCATGTTTATTAACTACTATTCAAATATTGAGCAATTTTTCCTTGACTATCTTTTTGTTTCTTAGTGACCTTTGACACTAATTTAGTTATCTTCAGCTTCAACTAACAAACTGAAGACCTCTTCTTACCTACATTACAGTTATGTAATAGCTATGCACCGATAGATGGCACATCCATCCTTTCTTGTATAAACAATGAATAGAAATTCGCTATTACTTTTTCTCATCCCAAAAAAAATAAATAATAATAATTTTGTGCAACATGTTGTCATCATACAATGAACGTACTTTCTAAATTCCAAAGCAATCTCCTCTCTTTTGCATTCAAATTACGTTGAACACCTGGCCCACCGATTTTTGCGCTCATAAAACGCGATAATTTATCCTGTTTATTTTCTTGTTTGTTTCATACGTCCTGACCCTTTCACAAGAAAAAAATGTGATAATGTATATGCACTCGGTACATTACGAAACCTGATTATAATATATCAATTATTTTTTTTAAACGTGCCGCATTCGGTAATGAACGCGACACGCTAAAAAGCATACATTTTACATTTCATTTGCGTTTTTACCATATCAAATGAGTACATTTGTAAAATCCTGTATAAAATTTCATAATTATAGAATCGGGAGTGCATACAAATTGTAAAAAGCCGCAGCAATTTTGCGATTTCAATGAAAAACATACAGTTTCCAAATCAGTAATTCTCTTTTGTTTTGTCACGTTTGAAGTTTAGCGGTATCCACGAAAACTAAATACAGTGGAACCTCGCTTAATGAGTTTAATCCGTTCCAAAATTTCCGGATTTTTACTCGTATTGAAAAATACATATAATAAGTGTACACAAGTTTTAAAAATGATGTAGCAGGTGCGCAATCCGGGACTTCTCTTCTCATCGTCATTCGTTATGCGAAACGTCTTATAATTCATTTTGCTCGTTAAGCGAAGTATTCGTTATGCAAAGTGTTCGTTAAGCGAGGTTCCACTGTATTAGATTGTGAGTCCATATTACAACGTGACATTAATAGTAAATGTAAAGCGTAATATTCATTATAATAAGTAAAGTAACATATTTGTAATAATAATAATGGTTTATTATTTATTGATTACAAATACAGTGGAACCTCGCTTAACTTTAATCCGTTCAAAAATTTCCGGATTTTTACTCGTAGAATGAAACAATTTTCCCCATATAAACCATATTTCCCCATATAAACCAAACATTTTTCTTACAATTTATTTTGCTCGTTAAACGAAATTCTCGTTATGCGAGGTTCCACTGTATAGATTTCAAAAGAATGGTATTATTCTATTTGAGAAATTAATGAATAACTCTTGGGATTTGAAATAAAGTCTTTCAATTAATAATAAAATTATAAAAAAAATATAATTTAATTTTTCGATTTTCCAATTCTGTCGAACAGATTGAGCAGATACTTGTATAATATTCAGTAAAATTATGTAATTGAAATTTGATATAAAATCTTTTTGTGTATGAAAAGAGTTTCATTCTTTAATTTCGAGAATGAATGAAGATATTATTTGTAATACACATAATATTGAATAAAATTATATAAAAAGAAAGTTTTAAGTATAAAAAGTGCATAGAAATGTTAAAAAAAATACTTTATTACAAAATTATTTCTTAACAAGTAGACTTATTTAAGTAAATGTAAGAAGAAGAAAGAGAGAAACAAATGTGATTAGATTTTGTTGGTTTGCGTTGAATGGATAGAGCTTTTGATGATTGTGATGAATAGCAGATGGAGGAGAAACTGGACTGTGGAGGAATCCGCTTAGGCGCGTTCCGAAGACGGGTTCCAAGATCGAGATGCGAGATAACGGGCGAGGTGCCGTAAATTAACTGGAAATGAATTCGGATTTAAAGTGGGCATCAATTTTGGGTGGATTAAAACGTTGGTCTTGTCCTGAAGTCCCATGCCGCCCGCTTTGCTGGCGACAGCCCAGGTCACTAATTAATGAGAAGAGGTCGGAGACCCGCGGATCTCACAGGCAACATCCATTTTTAATTAACCCGTCCCCCGGGTCGTAGCTAATTCAATCCGTATCAAGAATATAAGTACAAATGAAATGCGTCGATGCGACCTCTGTTTGCGTTGCACATGAGATAGGTGATAATTAATTATCGGATGGTAGTTAGTTAGCATGCAGAATTAATATAGCGACGCGCATTCGGACACGCCTAGGTGTGCCGCGCACACCTCGCATCCCAATTTCGGATCGACCAATAAATAAATAAATAAAATAAAAACATAACAAAACCACAAACTGCAAAGTATCCAAAAAAATAAATAAATAATAGAGAAAACAAAAACAAAAAGCAATTGCCAAAAACAATATAAGCGTGTACAAATAATCATTTGCATGCGTGGAATTAATGGAATATCTATCTGGCGGACGTAAATTATAATTTCGCAAATTACATTAGTTTAATCTATGCGCATTTCCAACAATGACTTTAATCACGCAGCGATCGCTTTTTACGGCCGTCCCGTTTATTCATTCATACATTTAAATTATCTATTTATAATAACAATAACGCGTATAGAAGATCTGCCAAAAAAAGGGTTGCGCTGCGGTGGCGGGTGGTGTGTGCAGGTTAGGGGGCGGTTTGCGCCCCCGCGCGTTTTATGCATTATTAAAACTGCAATTACGCGACCGGAATGAAATGCAGAACCGTTCGCGCCGAAGACTTTATTAAAAAAAAATATAATAATAATAATAAACGAACGCATCCGAATAAATAAATACGCATGAAACTGTACGCGAAATTCAATCGATAAAGCGCAAAAAAAATATGTATAGAGAAATAAAAATGTAAAGGATCGCGTATACCAATACAGAATAGTATTGAATGTTAATATACAAAATATTTTGCTGAAAATAATCTAAATTTGTGAAGAATTTATTTTGTTAATAATTAGTACATTTTTATTTCTATTTCTAAATTTGTATTTGTAACTACAACAAATATTGGGACAAGTAAAAAGTTCTGAGCGTTTTGTCCCATACATTGAGCTTCTTCGTGAGATCAGCATTATGCAGATGGTTCCAAATGGTTTTCTGGCTAATCTTCATTTTCTGAGCAATGGAATAAGTGCTCTCATGCCGGTCCAACTCGACGATTTCCATGATTTTATCAACATTACCAGAAATTTATCATCTTCGACGCTTTGGAACCAACGCTTTATTGTTGAATTCGATACTGTATTTTGTCCATAAACAACACAACAATTTTTGACCGCCTGCTCTGCTTTTCCCCTTGGTCGTAATGGTATAGAAGAATGTATCGAAATTTCTCTTTTTTACCTCCATTTTGGAACTCTCTAACACACAACTGGATTCGCTAAACACAAAACTGTCGAAGAACTTTTTTTAAAGTATTATGTCGCCATTAAGTCGCAGTAAAGAAAGACAAGATACAACTTATAGATCGAAAGATATAGCTTACTAAATACATGGCTCAGAACATTTTACTTCTCTTTAAATTTTTTGTCATTTTTAAAAACTGACTATTTTACATGCTTTGAAAATAAAATCAATATTTTTCTAATTGAAATAGTGTTTTTAATTCTAGTCAAGTATCAATTTTTGTTAGTCTGTACGATCCTTTACATGAATAAACAAGCGAAATCGCCCGGGGTTTGTATTGTATTGTCCACTTTTTTTTTTATTGTTGTTGTTCCATCGGTAGTTGTCCATCCGTAATTAAATTTATTTTTATGCCGGCTTTTCGGCGCAATTTTGTTTTAACGAATATGGAATCTACCATATATCGAATCGTGATTGGATAAACCAAAAAAAAAAGAACATTGAATAAATACGTGTACGCGTGTGACCGCTCTCTGTTTGTTTATCCTTACTTCCGTCCTACAGCAGCAACAAAAACATCCACAGTGAAATAATTAATAATAAACTGGATGAAAAGCAAAACAAAAAAAAAACAAAAAATTGGATACAAATTTGGTGTTCTTGGTCCTTATCCTCTTGGACAATCCAATTTCGTTGATAGTTTGCGCGAGCTTTACTTCTATTTGCCAGGACTTCATCACATTTGTTTAATTAATTAAAATCAAAGGAGTAGAGTTTGTTTTTTTTTCACTACCCTCCGGCATATTTCCCGACCCCTCGCTTTAGTTTTTCCTCCTCTTCTCCGGCATTTCGTCCGGCTCCGCGTTTTAATCCCATTGCGAAAACATAACCGCATAAGAAGATTATTTCGCCTTTACTTTCAAATATTACTCTCTCTCTCTCTCCCTACCTCTTTCCTCTCCTCCACCTTCGACATTTCAATTACATGAAACGAAATTAAAATGTAGGGCCTTTGGGGGAAAACGACAGGAAAACGAAATGAGGAAAATTGATTTTCGGAAAAAAAAAACTTTTCTACTTAATCTCATAAGCAAATTATTCTATACATAAAGGATTATAATTGC